TCATCCTCCACTGAAAGTATTCACTTGAATTTTGATCACAATTGAAGGTCACCAGCTAAGGTCTGTATCAGTCTTAAGCCTTCATTTTAAACAAACTTTTACTGCTAAGCTTAATGGTCCAATAATGAATAGATTAGGCAACCTGTTGTGCTTATTTTTGAAGCTGTAACTGTAAAAGTAACAATTTTTTATATGTAAATTATTTGATGCTAGGTTGTATATGAATTATTGATGTACTGGCAGTGGCGATGTGATAAAGTATTGGGCAATGTCATAAATACTGAATGCTTACATTATATATGTTTACTACTTTATTGATTTATCACATTAAATAATAACACTACCATGTAAAATATCTTAAATGGACATGGCCATCATAACCATACATCGTTTGTAGGGAAAATTTTAATATATTATATTATTACCCTTCCAGATTTTTTCCGCCTTTTTGATTGGATATTGATCACCCGAAAGAAATTGATATAACCGAGCCAGACGGGTAATATACACACTAAATTTCCCCGTTTGGTACCCAACGTTGTAAACAACATGCGCTGAGGTGATGCGCGTACGGTTCGATTTTACGCGGTGTAAATTCCGATTTAAAAGCACTTTTTAACTGTCAAATGATCAATATTTACCAAAGTAGAGTAATGATACATATTACCATCAGTATCGAAAACAAATATGACCTAGTGAAAGCTTGATATTAATTACAAAAAAGTGCGTTCAATAGACTACTCCTTTTCTCTTGTTTACTTTTGTAAGGTAAGGGAAATATACGTCATGTATTTATGTGACTTCATGTTGTGACGAAGAGGTATCCTACAGGGAATCTTATTTCTACGTTTCATTTGAAACAGCAATGATTTTTTAAAAAATCGTCTAAACTCGGCAGGGGAAGGGTAATAAAATTATTATTTTGGTTTTGGAGTGATATATGTGGATATATTACCTGCCAAGATAAAATATCACCCTCGCCTAACGGCTCGGGTGATATAAAATCTTAACAGGTAATATATCCACATATATCACTCCAAAACCAAAATAACATATAATGTACTGATTGAATAGTGAACAGTGAAGACCATGATCACAGGGTACAGATGTGCAGGCTGATCTTTGGTCAGCTAGTACTGTTCCCACAGTACATGTGGATTCTGTAGTGAAGGTTGACTGAACAAGGTGAAAGCAAAATGCAAAATTTAAGCAGTTTTATCAAAAATATATTTGCTATGCTTCATTGTGTAAATGTACTGCAGATATGATTTCTTTAAAGAACTTGAATTTTAATATGAATTAGACTGTTACTGCATTTAGGTGACTATAATGCTGCTACTGACTGACTGTTACTATGGTAATAAACTTTCAAACAAATTTATTGTTGCACTGCATCTTGTGTAAAAGATAATTAACTGTATTGACATGATAAATCACTTGTTTGTTTTTTGTATTAGTTGATATCATACCCTAAATTTCCTAGTGGGTTAAGTTAATTAACTTTGTTTATTGATTTCTCATCAATAATTCACTGAGTTGTCATTTTGTAGGTTTGTTGTGCGTAGAATATAGCATATGGTTGTTTTGAGAAGATGGAATAATCTTTAATATAATCTTTAAAACTTGGGATTTATACAGGTGTGTTTGGATTAGAGTTTTCTGGTACTTAAAATAATATTATTTTCATTTTATTGATTAAATTTTTTTTTGGTATTAAATTACTCTTTCTTCTGAAGTGTGCATGCTTAAGTTGAGTGAAGTAAGAAATTCTAGAGTTATGTAGTATTTTGTTATGAAGTAATGCACTTGAAGTAATGCATCAAGTTCTTTCTTTTCTTGTAAATCTGGAAAGTCACCATATATTTATAACTGTATTGTTGAGATGTATTACACAAACAACCTCACCCTTCTGTCCACCCCCTCCCCCCCCCCCAAAAAAAAAAAAAAAAAAATAAAATAAATGAAAAAAAGATCGGCAGAATTTAAATAACAGATTTGATAAGGTTCTATCACAGTACTAAAGTTCAGATCGAGCTTTATTTAAGAGCATTTGGACTTCCTCTTTAATAAAAGCTTATAATGTCACTTAAGAGATTTAATTTTAGTGCTCCTGTACCGTGTTATGAAGTTTATTGGAACTGAATATATATATTTATTATATACTTATAAATGAAATATTGAGAAATATTGATGAAATAAAATGCGTATTTTCATTTTCCGTATTTTCACTGTAAAAATTTATTTTTCACTGGAGTGAAACATATTTTCCGTATTTTCACTGGTGTCTTGCCGGACTACTTTCTTTTTAATTCTGCCAGTACCAAAAATTTAAGGGAAAGTCTTTCAAATTTTATCGCAAAAAAAAAGAGAAAAATGTATATAATAAACAGAAAATTCAAGTTTTTTCTATAAACACATGATTTATTTTCATCTTGTGGCATGAAAATTACCATATTTCACTTGTGGCTACCGCCACTCATGAAATATTTATTTTCATACCACTCGATGAAAATAAATCATGTATTTATAGAAAAAACTTGAATATCCTCTCTATATATATACAAAAAGACCCTTGATAAATGTCTGAACAACCATTGAAATAAGCTCTTAGATAGACTTGTTCTTTTATTTCTTTCTGCTCAAGCCTCAAATATTCTTTTACACTTAAGTTGCATAAAATTATAGATTTAATAAGTGGACAGATTTAAGGTATTAGCACCCTAATGCATTACCTCCGCTTTGAAGAGTATTCAAATAGGCTAGAACTACTGTTCACTACATTGAAAATGAGGGCCATGGGTTCAATCCACAGAAGGGTCAACTTTTTTTTTCTTTCTTTTTTTCTTTTAACATTATTAATGTAATTCTCATGTCCCATTTGGAAGGAAAAAAGTATTTTATTTTGATTTTTTAATTTATATAGGTATTTATTGGCTAAATTATGCTAAATATAGTAATAAATATGGTACCTGATATTTTCAATGTGTTATATATCAAAACTAGACCGTAAAAGTATTTCATATTTTACAAGATCAACCAACATACTTTTTAAAAAATTTAGGGAAACTTTGAAAACAGGCACTCATTTGGATAAATTTTAAGAATTTTTTAAATTAGGCTCCCTAAGTAGAAAAATGGTCAGACACATGGTAAAAATGGGTGGGGTAGGGTAACATTTTTATACAGATTTCTTAAATTTTAAGTAGAAACCATAATTTTGTTTATTTGGATTGTTAGCTGAATGGTACTTTTTGTTTCTTACCAAAAATTAATGGGAAAACATTTTTCATTAGAATGTTATTGCAGATTATTTAATGGTTCCTACTCTCTAAAAAAGGGCCCTCATAACATCCTAGCTTGAGTTCAGAAAAGTGGCCATAACTTGATTTCCGTACGGTAAACTTTGTTTAAATTTTGCATACAGGTGTACTTTAAGGTATACATCTGACTTATGATTTTTAGCTCGACTTTTCTATGAAAAGGGGAGCTATCCTACTCGCCCCGGCGTCGGCGTCGGCGTCGGCGTTAGCGTTAGCGTCGGCGTTGGCGTCACACCTTGGTTAAGTTTTTTGTACCACCCCACTTTATTTCAGAAGTATTACAAGTATGGCTTTGAAACTTACCATACTTGTTCACCATCATAACCTCCATCTACAGACAGGAGTACATAACTCTGTCAAGGTTTTTGACAGAATTATGGCCCTTTTTTGACTTAGAAAGTGTATTGAGCTTGGTTAAGTTTTTTGTACCACCTCACTTTATTTCAAAACCATTGGAGGTATTGCTTTGAAACTGACCATACTTGTTTACCATCACGACCTTCATCAACAGACAAGAGGACATAACTCTGTCAAGGTTTTTGACAGAATTATGCCCCTTTTTGACTTAGAAAATACATTGAATATGGGTAAAATCCACTTATTGCCTTAACCCTTTGAGATATTGCTTTGAAACTTTTAATGCTATTTCACATCATTACCCCTATCTGTACGCAAGAGAAGGTAACTCTGTCAGGGATTTGTTTTAAAAATTAAGGCCTTTTATCGACTTAGAATCTTGGTTAACTTTTTTGTACCAGTCAACTTTTTGACTGAACTGGTTGAGATATTAAATTGAAAGTTGGAATACTTGTTTACCATCATGGTCCCAAAACATGGGCAGGAGAAGGTAATTCTGTTAAGGATTTTATTTGAATTATGGCCCTTTTTGACTTAGAAACTCAGTTAAAATTTTCATTCTTGTCCACTTGTTGACTTAACCATTTGAGATATTACTTTGGAAGTTGGAGTTCTTATGTGCCTTCATGAGACCTATCTGTAAGCAAGAGAAGATAACTCTGTGAAAATGTTTCTTGATTTGTACTTAGAAATTCCTAGTTAAAGTCTTGTGTGCCCTTAACTGTCAAAGTTTTGTTTTATAGGCAAGCACTAAAAAAGTCGAGCGCGCTGTCCTTCTGACAGCTCTTGTTTTAGTTCCTGATAGTGCCCATTAGGGTCCTAATACCTTAAGTTGAGACAAGTTTTGGATTTTATTATGAAAAGTTTATAGCATATTTCATTTTATTTTTGAAATATTTCAGAAATAGAGTCACAAAAACAGCCTCGAAAAATTTCAGTTGTAGGGAAAAAGATATATGGTTAATGTATTAAATGCAATTTTAACAGTGCAACTGAGCTGCAACAGTATATTATTAAACAGCAAACAGTGGACACGTTAAGTTGAAGCACAAATAGTTTACAAGGCAGTGATGAGTAGATTAAACAATAGAACTGTAACAAAGTGAATAAAACAATGACACTGAATGGTGAGGACTGAATGGTGAATACTAAATGGTGAATACTGAATGGTGAATACTAAATGGTGAATACTGAATGGTGAATACTAAATGGTGAATACTGAATGGTGAATACTGAATGGTGAATACTGAATGGTGAATACTAAATGGTGAATACTGAATGGTGAATACTAAATGAAGTGAAAAGTGAAGGTAAAATTAATTAGTTTAATGGAGATTGATGAATGAATTGGACAGTACATCTGAATGGTGGAGTAAGAATAAGACACTGGAGCTGAACTTGACATAAAGGCTTGGACTGTCGAATCGACTCTTTGGATAAGTAGCGAAGATGTTTGGTCTAATAGTTGGTATTATAATGGTGTATGCCCATCATCTAGCTGCAGAAATAGGTATATTGATTAAGTCACATAAGTAGTTATTTGACTGATCGTTATAATTACAATTTAACCCCCTTTTTCGCTGAGGAGTTGCCCTGAAGGGTTAAGGCCACTATTTATCTGTGAATGATTGTAAGACTGGCGACTAAATGGTTTCAAATTGCCAGTACTGGCGTCCAGCAGAAGCGGTGGTTTTGACTCCTTGTGTTGCTTAAGATTGTATTACACCTGAGGTAAGCCAAAATCATCTTTCCTGTTTTGGTGCCATATGACCTAAATTGTGTTGGTGTGCTGTAAAAGGAATGCAAAAATAAATTGAAATAATAAAAAAAAATACAATATAAACCCTTTACCTGATTGCATTGAAAGGTGATTAAGCCTTTGCTACCAATCACTTAATTAGGAAGAGGCCTAAGCCTCTTTTTTTTTTTGGGGGGGGGGGGAATTATCACTGAAATTGCTTATTCTTTTAATAAAAAAACTGCATGATTTTGAAGAATGAGGCCTTTTGATAGGCCTCTGTTACATGAGGTGAAAAATAAGTGCTTGTATAAAAATAACTTCAAAATAGGGCAAATCCTGGCATTACATAAATTCAGCAGGTTAAGTGGTCAACAAGACTAACTAAAGATGGAGGAAAATGAAATATAAGAAATATATGAAAAATATTTGAAAAAAGATTAGAACTTAATTTAAATAACTCTCTCTCAAAAAAAAATGTTGTGTACTTTTGTTTCAGTAAGATAGTGATGTGTAAATTTGAGATTATTTTGGGAATTTCTAGGAATATAGACCCCTATGTCTATATTTTATACAGTAAAATACATGTATTACAAATATGGAAGCAGTTGTACCGAGCAGAATCATGACTTATTATATAGTATATAGATTTATACAAAAACATATATTTCTAATGCTGTATTTCTAGTGTTTAATTCTGTATTTCTAGTGTTTAATGCTGTATTTCTAGTGTTTAATGCTGTATTTCTAGTGTTTAATGCTGTATTTCTAGTGTTTGATGCTGTACCAACAAACGCAGCCGTTGTTTTCGGACAGGATCTATTCCTTTCATGCTCAGCAAGAAACACAACATCCAACTCTCAGAATGGTTTAACAATACGATGGAATCTAAATGAAGTTCAAGTCAGCTCAAAAACGTCTGTTTTCTACAATGGTACATTACTTGTACCCTTGGTAACCAAAGAAGACCTTGGCAACTACACTTGTGCTGTTTATGACGATTCTGGTGACTTGGTTTTAGAATCTCCATCAGGGAAGGTGTTCCATGCATGTATGTTATCATTATTTATGACATGCTTTTTTAGTGGTTTATAGAAATATACCGGTATTAGTGAAATATAAAACTGATAAATTTACTGTTTTAAACAGTAAAATTATCAATTTGATAATTTCACTGTTTTAAATTAAAGTTTTAGCCCCTTACCTTGTTTCAGTGAAATACCAGTGTGCACAGTACTTGAAACCAACTTAATGATGTTACGTTGTAAATGACGTCCTGTTGTATTATTATTTGGCACCGTTTTGATTTAGTATCAGGACATTAAATGTTTCTTTGCATATAATGAAAAGAAAATTTGTTTAGTAAAGTGTGAGATCGAAATATATTTCACCTCGCAAACCCCAAAAGTTCATATTTCAATCGTGGCTGCACCACTCGTGAAATATACCTTTTGGTGCTCACTCAGTGAAATATATTACGATCTTACACTGAACTAAACAAATATCCTCTATGTACTTGTTATTATAAATGTCATTTCATAGTTAGCAAGATTCATAAAATCACAGTGTGCGGGAAAAACATTTATCAATATTCTCCTATGCCTTGGTCTATATTAATATTCTCCTTTGCCTTGGTCTATTTTGGCATTTAATTAAAAGAATGAATTAGTATGTAAAGTATGGAACAAACATGTTTTGAACTGAAAGAGTACATAATAATACTTTGTTTTCTTGTTTATCTGATTTTGACACAGATTTTTTACACGTATTTTGGTCCTATCTAAGTGGACCCAGTCCACATAACCAGATCCTTGAGTAGCTCCCCAGTAGTTTCTAGTTTCGCAGCATTAGACCAACCACTTTATTCCAAATGACTTCACAATTAGAAGTTACATGCGTATGACCATTAGACTCAATGTCAGAGATGAATCAGTAATCGAGAACTTTCTCCTTGCCCGAGGGTCAAACCATTGATCCTTGGATTACAAATGTAATGCTTAATTTAATGGATGATATGAAAATACTTTGAATCCTTTGATCCTTTGTATGTTTGAAATTCTTTTACGCAGCTTAATTTAGCCGGCAGATCCTGATCCTGGATAATAGATTTATGCATTAATATGGATTAGAAATTCATGTCTGATTCTGGATAAGAGAGTAATGCCTGATTCTGGCTCAAAAAAAATATGCCTGATCCTGTCTTACAGATTTATGCCTGAACCTTAGTTTGAAAAATAATGACTGATCCTGGATAAGAAATTTATGCCTGATCCTTGCTTATAGATTTATGCCTGATCCTCACTTCTAGATTTATGCCTGATCCTCACTTCTAGATTTATGCCTGATATCCTCACTTATAAATTTATGCCTAATCCTCATTTATAAATTTATGCCTGATCCTCACTTATAGATTATTGCCTGATCCTCACTTATAGATTATTGCCTGATCATCACTTATAGATTTATGCCTGATCCTCACTTATAGATTTATGCCTGATCCTCACTTATAGATTTATGCCTGACCCTCACTTATAGATTTATGCCTGATCCTCACTTATAGATTTATGCCTGATCCTCACTTATAGATTTATGCCTGATCCTCACTTAAAGATTTATGCCTGATCCTCACTTATAGATTTATGCCTGATCCTCACTTATAGATTTATGCCTGATCCTCACTTATAGATTTATGCCTGATCTTCACTTATAGATTTATGCTTGATCCTCACTTATAGATTTAAGTCTGATCCTCACTTATAGATTTATGCCTGATCTTCACTTATAGATTTAAGTCTGATCCTCACTTATAGATTTATGCCTGATCCTCACTTATAGATTTATGCCTGATCATCACTTATAGATTTATGCCTGATCTTCACTTATAGATTTATGCCTGATCCTCACTTATAGATTTATGCCTGATCCTCACTTATAGATTTATGCCTGATCTTCACTTATAGATTTATTCCTGATCCTCACTTATAGATTTAAGTCTGATCCTCACTTCTAGATTTATGCCTGATCTTCACTTATAGATTTAAGTCTGGTCCTCACTTATAGATTTAAGTCTGATCCTCACTTCTAGATTTATGCCTGATCCTCACTTATAGATTTATGCCTGATCATCACATATAGATTTATGCCTGATCATCACTTATAGATTTATGCTTAATCCTCTTTGTAAGTGATAGCAAGACTATCATACTAGTTTTGCTGATTTTGTAATGTGACAGCTGTCAATGGTTTTGTACAATGGTGATTGTGATCAATTATGGATAACACAAAGAAAACCCAAGACCAATCCACAATATGGTTGTGGCAAAAATGTTTTATGGGAAATTATTTTTATTGTTACTTAATTTTTTTACAACAGTTATAAAGATGTTTGAGGTCAGTCCAATACCAGCGAATGTTTTAGAAGATGAAGAGGTGACATTTGACTGTATCACAGGAGAGAGTGCACCTCCACCTGAAATTTACTGGGAGAGAAACGGGGAACCATTCACTGGTGGGAAACAGTATAGTGCCACATATGGTGGACATAGTGAACAGTCACTGGTAAAGTGAGTCATATAAATACACCATTGTTGTTAGTTAACATAGTGATCTGGTTGTTAAATAGTAAAAAAAGTAGGTCAAAATGTTTGGTTTATTTGTAACTTTTTTGTAGCTAGGCAAGCATTGCTGCCTTTGTAAGCTATTGTGATAACCCAATGTCTACATCCGTTGTTAGTCGTCAGTCATTAACACTTTTACTAAAACAACATCTCCTTAAAAGGGCTTGGACAATAGTGATGAAATTATACATGAATGATTTGAATGCGAAATATTTGTGACAAGGGCAGGAATGTTAGCAAAATGCTATTTTCACTTCCATACAAAATACTGAATCACTATTTTTGCACTACTAATTATTTCAATAAGTCAAAAGAAGCAAACATTGGCTCAGCTATATTGAGTCAATGGGTAATATTTTAAGAACTGTAACAGGAGACAAAAAAATAAAAAAAGCTTATGAATGTTTACACATAACATTTTTTTCACAGGCAATATTCGATGAAACTTATACTGACAGCTAAGCCACATCTTGATGGTACATATAATTGTGTTGCCAGGAATCCAGTTCTTGGAATAGCTATAAGAAGTCGCATTGTTCTGATGCAGACGGCAGGTAATATAATTCTTTGTTTAATTCCTGTTAAATTGTTCTGATGCAAAAATTCTACATGATCATAGTTTTAAAGTGAATTGGTTCATAATGGCATGTCTGTAATAGAATTATGTTGATATTATGCAGCAGAGATCGAAAATTCCGCTTGTCTGCTGGTAACTACGAGTAAAATTTAGGAAAACTTGATGCAGAACGAGTAGAAAAATGTTGCTTGCACATTGGATTTAGAAGCTACTCGTACTGCAGGATAACTGATTCTGAAAATATTTTTTGATGTCTATTCAGTATCATATGTTACTGTACTACAAAAAAGGAAAGAATTACACATGGATCATTATTTAGATACATTATCTGATATTACATACCTATATCTATATAGTAGATATAATAAATTGTTCCAGAACAAAATATAGTTATTCATCATATAAATGTTCATACTTAATCATTTGGAACATTATCATCATTTATTTTTCAAAACATATTCAAATGAATATTTTATATTGATACATTTCTATAGGATTTTTTTTCTTCTTCATTATTTGAATGGTTCCTATTATTGACCAATTATTGTCTGATATTACATATCTATATCTAGTATATATAACAGATAGAACAATATATTATCTTGATTCATATAAATGTTCATACTTAATCATTATTAACTTTTCAAAACTTATTTTATATGAATATCTTCATGTATTCTAAAAAAAAATTTTTTTCAATATTAGAAAAAATTATAGAAAATGTTTTTCTATTGTAGATCAATCCACTTTAAGCCTGTGTAATAAACAAATGCTCTCTTACCTTCCCTTCTTTCCCATTACTTTCCCATCTGATCTTACTTCTCACCATGCTTACACTAAAATACCCCTATTCTATCCAATATTCTTCTGTTTTATGCCAATATCCCAAATCCATCACTTAATTACTCTCATATTTGAAAAAAAACACACAAAAAAACGTGATGTTAAGGTATAGATCTAAAAACATGGTTTTCTAAATTTTCTATGGTGGTGCTTTACACTAATTGTACAGTATACACTAATTGTACAGTGATTGCTTTTTGGATGTATTCTGTGCAGTTACATATTCAATTCATGCTTTATTCTATGACAATTTCAGAAATAGAAACAGCCCCGTATGTTATGGACGGTCATCTACAGACTAATGTTACAACAGCTCTGAACCAGCCAATGCTCCTAGACTGTCCCGTCATGGGTAAACCTAAAGTTGATATAGCCTGGTTTAGAAATGGAGAAGCAGTCAGCCAAATTGGTGATTTCTTCATATTGATGAATGGTTCCCTGCACAGACCAATTTCACAGCTGACAGATGGAGGGGAGTATATTTGTGAGGGAACCAATACACTTGGTGTTGCTCGTGCTCCAAGTATATCTGTCACCATAGCAAGTAAGTGCAACAAAAATGTGCAGTACTTAAGCTGAATTTAATTTCACCTTCTGTATGATTATATTTGCATAACATTATAAGTGCATTTTACTTTTTTTACAAAAACAGACAATCAACAAATCTGAGAACCCATAAAAATATCCCCTAATAATATGTCAAAGAAATTTCATGTCCAGGAAAATTACATGTAAGTGAAGTAACAGGTTTTTTTACTTATACTATTCTCTTTAAAACTCCAGGAATAGACTTGATGTTTGTGGAGCAGCCAAGCAACCTTTTCGTGATAGCTGGTTTGCCAGCCACTTTAAAATGTGCGCCACCATACAGTGTACCGTCTGCTGCAGTCACATGGTACAAAGATGATATCTTATTTGTGCCAAGGACAGGTAAGTTTAACCTTTTGCTAATGGTATGTTATAATCTCCAGCATGTTGAAAGTGACATGTTAAACAAAATGAAAATATAAAATTTTCCTAATCTTTCTCTAGTAATGTATTGTAGTGTTTGCACAGCAATACATGTATTATTTGTATATAAGTATGTTTTCTTATCCAGAACACTCAATAGCACTTCATTTATACATAATCAATCTGATTGAATGTGAATGATATTGTCTCTGACAAACAAAAATGAGCCCCCTCACGACAAAACCTACATAGTGTGTTTGCGAGCCGACCAGCATGGATCCAGACCAGCCTGCGCATCTGCGCCAGGGTATAAACAATATGTTTTTATTGTAGTTAAGCTTGAATAGGGAGATTTATTTTACTTTATCAGATGCTGTGACATTATTGAAGTGTACCCAATGCTGAGACACTTTGGTTAAGTGTTTGCTTGTAATAAATGGTATCTCCAAAACAACTGAAGAGAATGGGTTAAATTTCACACACTTATCTGACACTTTCCAAGGTCCTTAATTCCAACATGGATTTTGATTAATATTTCAAACTTCAAAAATTCTTGGTTAAAGTTTTGTATGCAACATTAATCTTTAAAACAAACTAAGGTATTCACTAGAAACTTAATACATGTACATCTCTTTAGGATCATCATCTGAGGTCATACATTTGTAACTATAGTATGGAATTTCAATTGAATTATAGCCCTTTTTAACTCGACTTTTTAGAGGTATTGTTATGCTCATTACTGGTATTGGATTATATTCTTATTTTTTCTTTGCTGGTATTAGATAAATTCTTATTATCCCTTTGATTGGTATTATATTTTTATTTTCTCTTTGGCTGGTATTTTATTAAGAGGATATTTTTTCGTTTGAGTGAAATATAGAATATATTTTCACGAAACATGATAAAATGCCCCATTTTTTCACGACCCGGGATGGTGAGTGAAAATATGAGGCATTTTATCATGTTGAGTGAAAATATATACCATATTTCACGAAAAACGAAAAAATAACCTTTTTTTTTTAATTTCATTATCAAAGAAAAATGGTTATGAACCCCCTTGCCTGCTATGCAACTGCAATTATACAGCGCACAGTAATATAAGTATTGTCTTGTTATGTTATGCATGTGATATTTAGCGCTAGATTGTGACGTCACATAAACAACTTTTTAAATGTCTGTACAGCATATTAATGACTGAATTAAAGATATTGGTGTTTGGATTTATTTTCTTAGTTAGACCATTTTCTATCATTCTAGATAGTGTTCAAAACAAAATTCAACAAAAAAGTTGTTTTGTATTTATCAGATTTTTCAGGTACGTATATTAACGGTATCCGCAACAAGGTTTTAGACCGAGATTGCTGTCGTGTCGGTCGTGCGCATGCGCACATGCTACCAAAAAATTTAATCGATGACGGACGGAGCAAATTTTGTTGATGAAAAATCTGTAAATTAAGTGTTAATTTACGAGCATCGGCACAAAAAACTCAAGAAATAATGACAGGTAAGTCTTATGTTTTTGTTATGTACGTGTATTTTTACTAGATTACGCTTCCAAATGGCGTAAATCGGGTGTGGAAATTTCCAGTCTGTATGAATGAGATCGACAAAATGGCGGATCTTTGTTAAAAACGGGTGAACATGTATAAAATCTGCAGAGTTATCAGGCTTAACCTACTTGTAGAAAACTGATTAAACTTGCACAAATCGGTTTAGAATATATTAAAGTAAGTAATGTTGGTACTTTTAAGGCTCCCTCATCATCTGATCTGTTGTTTTTGTGGCGTGAAATTTGAAGGAAATTTGTAAATTTTTGCGGTGAAAAAAATAAATTCACGACCTATTTTGGCCCAAACATCAGAGGTATCTAAAGACCTTGAAAATACAAGTGAAAGCTTTAAAGTTAGTTACTACATTATTGTGAATGGGGTGTGGTATTATTTATAATTTTCAACTGAATATTTTTGATGCTATGGTCTTTTGAAAATTGATGAAATTTCCCCCATTTTTTTTCATTTACTCAGAAGTTATATTCAACTTCTTTTTGTTAGTTATTCCAGGTACGTATATTAACATTAGTACATGGTTATTCTGTTGATAAAACAAAATATTTATATTAAATGTCATTTCATCTATTTCAGATCGTAACAAATGTGCTTCAAGGGTTTCAAGTGGTAGATCAGCACGACAATTTCACTGAATGCTGATACAGCCCAAAAGTTCAAAGATTTGCAGCTTGTGCCAGGAGAGTCCCAGAAGTGTCAAATAAATTTCGGGAATAAAGTGACACTAAATGAAAACACTATAAACAGTCATTTTATAGCCAGTGCGATGCTATTGAAGTTTTATGTAAATCCAGTTATAAAATAAAAGGCAAAACTTATATAAATGCGTTTTCCTTTTTATTTCTTTTTTTTTACTACCAGGTACCTGATACTACTATTTCCAATACCTTTATGTCTATTCTCTCGAAAAAATGTACGTTCATTCAAGAGAACCTGAAAGATACTGACATATGTAGTGGTGAAACAGTTTGCTCAATATAATTGTATAAAAGCAACACAGAAAATATGTTAAATAAATAAAAACAATTAACTGGATATAGTAATAATCTAGCCTTACCCACTAAAAAACAGTTTCAAACAGGACCGACTGATAGAAAAAGTGTGAAAACTATCACAATTGAACAATTAAATAGATGCACATTAATAACCGTGATTAAATCAATTACTGAATCTGCAGCAAACATCAATTATGACGGTACAATGTACTTATTTTTCACAATACTTACATAACAAAAAATGTTTAGGCCGTTTTTCAGAAAAATATACGTACCTGAGAAAACGAACATTTTTATAAGAGCTCTTTTCTGGTGCAGTTTGAAAATTATATAATCATACTTTTATTCAATTTTAAAAATAGATAGATAGATAACTTCATTCTTTAAACAATGTTCAAATAAAAAAATATAAAGGGCTTAATAAGTTAAATATATGGTAAAAGTTGCGTTCGAAATATGCAAGATGATTTTGGTCATGTGATTCTTCACGATATCTTATCCGCATTTATTTAAGATACGCAATAGAAATTGAAAAATAAAAAAATTAAAACTACAGTTTATAAGCTTTTTATAAATAATTTTTCACAAATTTCGGCAAAAAAATGACGAAACAATAATAACTTGTTACTACATGTATATAAAATTTCTTTCGTGTGCAGTCGCGATTTGGCTGGTAGTAAAAGTTGCGTTTTTTACTCGTTACAATTCCGGAAATAATTTAGCTTTGTAAATGATAATTACACGGTTAAAAAGATCAAATTCTCAGCTTTCTTTTGATAGGTATTTTGCTAAATTCGGACCATAAATTACGAAAAAATCTTATATTTGTTCGAAGAGGGCATCATTATTTTTACTGAAGTTTTGACATAATCGGGAGACAAAAAAAACAAACTCTGTGTTTAACTCGTCGTAATTTTCTTCATACTAAACGCACTGATTTATAAAATATATATTTGAAAAAATCTATCTTTCAGCTTTCTAGAATATGTTACTTTTAAAAAATTGAACAGAAAATAACATGTTGACGGTAATTTAAATAACCAAGGTCAAATATCACACCGCTTAATGATATGTAATCGTCGATAAAAATCAATAACGATCGGCAGTCTGGATGGATTATCTACCACGACAGCATAATTTACCGTTATTGATTTACTGTATAGAGTTGCGGATACCGTTAATATACGTACCTGGATTTTTCAAACAAAATGGCAAAAGAAGTCCCTAAAAATAATTATGAGTTTTGACTCGGCCCACTTTCATATTTATAATTCATATTTATTTTTAAAACATATGAAATATATTTAGCTGATATAGCACCATATTTCATAGGTAGAATTAAATAAATATTCTTATTTTCTCTTTGACTGGAATTATATGATATCATTATTTTCTCTTTGACTGGTATTAGATATTTTGACTCAGGGCAGTACATCTTTAATCCTTCCACCAAAAGATGAGTTACTGGAGAAAACACACAAAAAAAAAACAACTTTCAAACTCCTCCTATAACACACAAAAACTTAACACACATGCAATAAATACACTTTAATTATGACCAATCAAACTTAAGAGAGAACTTAAATTGGGCCACTTCAAAAATTAAAGGAACTACTTTCTAGACTACAAAGGGTTGGGTCTAATTCTGTACCAGGGTGGGACCATCAGTAGTAAATTTCAAGATATAATGTATGCATGTATTCTAGGCTTTATGAGGGTCCATCTGCCCTTTCAGGCTTTGAGGGTATGGACCAGGCACAAAGGGTACGGACCCTGAGCATGTCACCATTCATATTCTTAAAGATTATTATTTACCAGAGCGTGACCTATAAACTATGAATTCAGTACTTCCCTGAATGATACTAAATATGTATGCAAGTCAATTTTTGGGATGAAACTATTTGATTAACAGGATACCATTATAATGCCTCATGGAGAAAAAGATAAGATGTTGCTGCCAAAATAAATGATCATAATTATCTTTCGGACAAGGTTGACTGATAGATAAGGTTAATGCAACTTGGCCTGGTACCGTGTAGACACATGTCTAGGATATAATCAAGTCTCTACGTAGTTTAACATTACTCATCACTTTATTATAACTTATATAAACTTTTAATTTTTTTCTACTTACGCAAGTTTTTAACATTGACCTTGCCACAAATCAAGTGCGACCAGTTTTTAAACTCTCAAGGTCGAAAGGATGTTTAAACAGAGTAACAAACAACTTGTTTTTCTTCCCTTGTCCTGTTTATATAACTGAACTGATAATCAGTTTGAATTAAATATTTTACTTCTTGAAAAAAAAAATATTTTGTTTACTTTGAATACCAGTGTTTATTTGTAAGTCTATCAATTTGATACCCAAGGTTAAACTTATTTTAAACAGAAATAGATATAAAAATGGTAAAGGTCTTGTTATGATAGTGTCACCCCTACTGAAAGGGTCAGCCATTTCTGACTTATGAGCATACAATGTACCATGTACCTCCCAACTCCTACCACTATGCCAGGCCCCAAGCGGGAAGAAATCAGTAACCATTCATTTTAACTACCTTGCGGCTCACTCAGTGGCCATTTCAGAACGAGTCCTATGAGATAAATTCATCCTTCATTAAAGCTCACAGTTACAAAGGCCGGACCTTTGACCTCCTGAACGGAAGGTGGAGGCCTTAACAACTAGGCCAGCGGTACTGGATATATCTATAGCAAATTGGAGTGGTGATGGTAGTTTTTAGCTCACCTGTCACAAAGTGACAGGGTGAGCTTTTGTGATCGCTTTTCGTCCGGCGTCCGTCCGGCGTCCGTCCGTCCGTCCGTAAACTTTTACTTTAAATGACATCTCCTCATAAACCACTAGGCAAATTTCATCCAAACTTCACAGGAATGTTCCTTTGGTGGTCACCTTTAAAAATTGTTCAAAGAATTTAATTCCATGCAAAACTCTGGTTGCCATGGCAACAGAAAAAAACACTTTAAATATCTTCTTTTAATAAACCCTAAGAGCTAGAGTTTAGATGTTTGGCATGAAACATCTTCTAGTGAGTGTCTACCAATTTTGTTCAAATAAAAGCCCTGGGGTCAAAATTGGCCCCACCCCAGGGGATCATTGATTTTCCCTATATGCATATAGTAAAAACTTAAAAAATCTTCCTTTAAAGAACCAAAAGTGTTAGAGCTTAGATATTTAGCATGGAACATGTTCTAATAGGTGTCTACCAAGTTTGTTCAAATAAAAGCCCTGGGGTCAAAATTGGCCCTGCCCCGGCATATAGTAAAAACTTAAAAAATCTTCTTTTAAAGAACCAAAAGAGTTAGAGCTAAGATATTAAGCATGAAACATATTTTAGTGAGTGTCTACAAAATTTGTTCAAATAAAAGACCAGGGGTCATTGATTTTCTTTATATGTGTATAGCAAAAACTTAAAATCTTCTTTGAAGAAACCCAAATAGCTAGAGTTTAGCTATAAGCATGAAACATCTTCTAGTAAGTGTCTACAAAGTTTGTTCAAATAAAAGCCCTTGGGTCAAAACTGGTCTGGCCCCAGGGGTGTCATTGTTTTTAACTATATGTGTATAGTAAAAACTTAAAAAAAATCTTCTTTTAGAAAGCCCAATGAGCTAGAGCTTACATGTTTAGCATGAAACATCTTCTTATGGATGTCTACCAAGTTTGTGCAAATAAAAGCCCTTGGGTTAAATTGGCCCTGCAACGTTGGGGGGGGGGGGTTGGGGGGGCCTATATATGCATATAGTAAAAACTTAAAAAATCTCCTTTTAAAGAACGCAAAGTGCTAGAGCTGAGATATTTAGCATGAAATATCTTCTAATGCATGTCTACAAAGTTTGTTCAAATAAAAGCCCTGGGGTCAAAATTGGCCCAGCCCCAGGGGGTCATTGATTTTCCCTATATGCATATAGTCAAAACTTAAAAAATCTTCTTTTAAAGAACGCAAAGTGCTAGAGCTGAGATATTTAGCATGAAATATTTTCTAATGCATATCTACAAAGTTTGTTCAAATAAAAGCCCCGGGGTCGAAATTGGCCCAGCCCCAGGGGGTCATTGATTTTTCCTATATGCATATAGTAAAAACTTAAAAAATCTCCTTTTAAAGAACCCGAAGAGCTAGAGCTAAGATATGTAGCATGAAACATCTTCTAATGAGTGTCTTCCAAGTTTGTTCAAATAAAAGCCCTGGGGTCAAAATTTGCCCCATCCAAGGGGGTCATTGATTTTCCCTGTATGCATATAGTAAAAACTTGAAAAATCTTCTTTTAAAGAACCCAAAGAGCTAGAGCTGAGATATTTAGCATGAAACATGTTCTTATGGGTGTCTACCAAGTTTGTTCAAGTAAAAGCCCTGGGGTCAAAATTGGCCCCCCCGAGAGGTCATTGATTTTCCTTTTATGTGTATAGCACATACAGGTGAGCGACCTCAGGGCCATCATGGCCCTCTTGTTTTAGTTGTCAGAAACAATGCATTCAGTCAGTCATCTCCTGGCACCTTCAAGTTCATTTTTGGTAAGAATTTACTGTTGGAAGAAACAGGTAAGTACTGGTATTGATCACAATCCAGTCACACATGTTAAATAAGTACTGGCTGACATGCTCATAGCAATTGGCACTGAATGCAGCATAGATAAATATATTTCTTTGCCATATTCCAGTGTAAAGAAATTACATGTACTAGTAAATACCTCTGTGACTGAAAGAGTAACTTCCCTTTTTTCAGGAGACTATGCAGTGCAAGTAGTTAAAACAGTGGACGGTTACTGGAACATTCAGTTTAAGAATATACAGAAACAGGATGAAGGAGAGTATTTCTGTGTTGCTACAAACTCGTATGCCATTCCTGCGTCCCGTACCTCGGTGTCGGCAAAAATAAGTGTGGGAGGTATAGAAGTTTACAGTATAATATATTCTTATAATTATGTTTTTAGCTTATTTATACAAATAGTAGTGAGATATCCTTCTCACACTGGCGTTGGCACGACACTTTGGTTAAAAGTTTTTACATGTGACTTCAGTTATAAAACTTTATTTCTGATGAATCACTAAAAGAAATTTGGTTGTAACTTCACACATGTCTTTGAGATCATAATAAGTCACTATTTCTAGCGTGGATTTAAGCATAATTATGGCCCTTTGTGAAAATTCCTGAAAGAAAGTTTGGCATGCAATATCAGTCTTCAAAACTACTGAGGTGAAGAAAAAATTCTTGGTTAAAGTTTGGCATTTAACATCAATCTTCAGAACTATTGAAAATTTAATTAAAATTTGTAAAATACTGATTACGGAGAAAGTTTTAAAAAAGCTTTTCAAGCTTCCTACTCAATCTGTAAATTTTATTTTATGTACCTTATTATGTAGATCTATATATAAAGGGGAGAAACCATTGCTTTATAACTATGAAAGGCTATAAATCCTTTTTTCAGGGGCACCAATATTTGTAGAACCACCAGTGGGCCTAACCATAGAGAAAGGGAAACTTGCCAAGCTTACATGTTATGTACAGGGTGATCCTTTCCCAGAGATAACTTGGTTGTTTGAAAATAAAGTTCTTGAAGTGTCAACAACTGTATCATTTAGGTGAATTTTTTCTTTTCTTTTTATATGCCCGAAAGATGTCATTCATTCCCTAATGCTTTTATGTGGCTATTTTCTTTTGTGTGGCTAAAAAATATAATAGCCACAAAATTACTGTCCTGTGAGAACGTCCGTCCGTCCGTCTGTCCCTCCGTCTGTTAGCAATTTGGTTGCTATGACCTTAAAAATGAAAACAAATACCGGAGCATAACTTAAGTTCCATTTAACCCACAGTGTTCAAACTTCATAGGATGATTGTTCATATTGGGTAGAAGACCCCTATTGATTTTGGGGTCACAAGGTCAAAGGTCAAGGTCACTATTACTTAAGAACTGAAAACAGTTTGCGGGGCATAACTTAACTTCCATTTGAACCACAATATTGAAACTTCAAAGGAGGATTGTTTTGTGAAGGAGGTAATACCTTATTTAATTCCCATGTCTTACAAATGCTTCATCTTTACTAAAAAAAAGAAATCACTTTTGGGCATATAATGCTCTGCCTAGCGGTGCTCTTGTTAGTTGATCTTTTAGTGTTGACTTTTTGAAGAATGATCAATCTTTTTTGGTTTGGATGCATTTTTAGATCTTTTTTATGTTTGGTTTTAAGTCACGCTGACAAGGTAAAGGTCATATGGGTTTGCGACCAGCATGGACCCAGACCAGCCTGCGCATCCACGCAGTCTGATCAGGATCCATGCTGTTTGCTATCAGTTTCTGTACTTGTTATACGGTTTGTAAGACTGGTCTGGATCCATGCTGGTCCCAAACGCATTACGTTGGTTTTGTTGTGACGCAGCTGATTTATTTTTATTCAGGAATGGTAAGCAGGAGCTTTGGATAGGAAATATGAACAAGGGCAATGAAGGGACATACACCTGCAAGGCTTTCAACAGATTTAGTACAATACAGACAAGAGTTTATGTCAAAGTCCTCGGTATGTATGGCAGTTTACTGATTGTTTTTATTTCCCTAGCTCATGTATTCAGAGTAGTAAAGCATTTCAACTGACTGTTTCAACCTACTGTGATGTTGACTCAGTGGTTATTGATACAGTTTTGCATGCAGATTTCACTTTTATTTTATCCATGTGCATTACAAAGGTAGTCCACCTATTTTACATGATGGCCATTGAAAGGTCACATTGACAGTTTAAAAGATGATGGTTATACAATGTCAAAATATTACACTGATGGTTGTATCAAGTCCTAGTTTTATCATTCATTCACTGAGTCTTTTATAGCTTGACTATTAGTTTAGAATAAGTAAAGCTACAGTGTATCCCAGTCAACCAAGCGTCGGAGTAACCTCTATGTTACAGTTTGTATACCACTTCAAATATTTTCAAAGTCCATTGACATATAGCTTTGAAACTATGCACACTTATTAAACATCATGCCCCCAAACTGTAGACTGGGAGAGGTAGCTTTATCAAGCATTTTGAGAGAATAATGCCCCTTTTTTGACTTAGAATTTACATTAAAGTTTGCATACCAAGTCATATTTTTATATTTCATTGACATCTGGCTTTGAAACAAGTTGAAATTTAATACATTGCTTTAAGAGCATAATAGGACTCTCTCCAAGGCCTTTTACTGTAGCATGGATTTGAAAAATTGGCCCATTTGTGAACTTCAAAAATTTTACATTAAAAGCACTCAAAGAATAGTAGAGAGTGCTGTCCTGCTGACAGCTCTTGTTAATAATCGGGCTCAGAAGAAAATATTTGTTAATGTTTCTATATTCTTATATTTTTTAGTTAGGCAAGCCAAGGTCATTGTTCCTCCACTTGGCCTGCTTGGGGGCATTTGTTTGTGTTTAATATCAGTTCTTGTTTTGTTTAAACTTACATCAACAAATTATATGATAATAATAAAAAAAAAACTGACTCATTTATTTACTGGTTGAGAAGGATAGGCTTTAAGAGAGTTGTTTTGAAGATTTTACATAACCATATTTTTTTGTGATCATGTTAGTGTAAGTTTTGCATTCTTGTAGTTGGCTAGAATATGGTGTTTGTGTTGACAAAGAGGAAAGAATTTATGATTCATCAACTGCATGCTGAAATGATTTAACAATACACAAATGTAATAATTTAAAGGGATACACAGGCAAAATTTTCATTTCTTACATTTGAATTTGTCATTCATAATTCTGTAAATGCCCTCAAAATAATTATATTAGACAGTCAAAGGAACAAAACTTTTCTCCATATAAAGAATAAATGGTGGTTTCCTAACTTGACCCGCGTGGGTCAGGTTAGAGCGCTAACATTTCACAATAGTTGTCAAAGTGAACTCTGGAAACATTAAAGAACATGTCAAATGAATGACTTAGGCTTGTTTCAATCATATAATATCCACAATATCTGTTATTTTAACTTCAAGGGTTTGTTCAAGTCACCTGACTTGTTTCAAAACTATTTGGTGATTCTATTGGCGTCTATGTTTTGTTCAACTTATAAAGACATTTTTACGCTTCAAACCCTGAATGTATAGAATTTAAACAGAAATTCATGCTGAAATTTCAAGAAAAGTCATTTTAGCATGATTTGAGTACATAAGATCATTTTAATATTTTTGTCATTATTTTGCCTGAATATCCCTTTAAGGATACATAAATGTAATAAATTAACAATAAACAAATGTAATAATTGATTATACACAAATGTAATTATTTAACAATACACAAATGTTATAATTTAACGATACATAAAAATAATACACAAATATAATAATTTAACAATATACACAAATGTTATAATTTAAAGATACATAAAAATAATACACAAATATAATAATTTAACAATATACACAAATGTTATAATTTGAAATACATAAAAATAATACACAAATATAATAATTTAACAATATACACAAATGTTATAATTTAAAGATACATAAAAATAATACACAAATATAATAATTTAACAATATACACAAATGTAATTATTTAACAAGATATAGATATAAATAATTTAACAATATGCAAATGTAAGAAATTAAGCAATACACAAGTAAAATAATTTAACAATACACAAATGTTATAAATTTAACAATACACATATGTAATAATTCAACAATACACATATGTAATAATTTAACAATACACAAATGTAATGATTTAACAATACTCAAATGTAAAATTTACAATAATAATTTAACAATACAAAATACACAAATGTTATAGTTTAACAATACACAAATGTAATAATTTAATAATACTCAAATGTAATGATTTACAATAATAATTTAACTAAACAATAATGTTTTTATTTAACAATACACAAATGTAATAATTCAACAATACACAAAATTTTAATGTAATAATTTAACAATACTCCAATGTAATAATTAACAATAATAATTTTACAAAACACAAATGTAATAATTTATCAAAACACAAGTGTAATAATTTAACAATACACAAGTGTAATAATTTAAAATATTTAAATGAAATACAAAATGTCAGTCACTACTCTGAGCATTCAAATTTTAGTTAAAAAGTGGGACAATTTGTAGTAGCTAGTGATAACACTGTTTGTTTTTCAAAGTATTCTCCAGAATGGTAGCTGTACTGTTCCCATCTTGATATAACTCATGATGTAAAGCATTTTAAAAATATTTAATAGGAATCTTTCGGATGCATTGAACCATTGGTCTGTTTCTAGCCTCATCAGTTTTTTTTTTCAAACGTTGTGAGCATCATTATATCTATTGTTGTTTAAACCATAGCTATAGTTGGCGTCTGCAATTTGGAATTCCAATTTGTTTTACTTCAATTGTGTTGGAAGCTACACTGTATAAACTTATTGAAAAATTTTCCAACACCACTCTTATGAAAATTGTATAATTTTTCAGCCTCCCTTGTATTACTGTTGGTTAAACGTGGTGTATGGAACTATGGATATATTTTATATATTTCAGTGCCACCAGTTGTGTTACAGTCAGTTGGTCACACAGTAGCTAGTAAAGGAGATGCTGTAGTTATACCTTGTGGAATATACAGTGACCCTGACCCAACCATCACATGGTATAAAGGTAACTTGATTATTTTATTCTTTAAAACTGTCATCATTTGCAGACAACAAATGCACATGTTCAAAAGCCTCCGACCACATCATGTATAGTGTATTTGCCAAAGTTTGATTACCAGCACAATTTATAATGCTTACCTGCCCAACATTTAGATAATTTAATCAAAAACCATTTAGGTGATTTTAATTAATTGATGGCATCTTAAAAATGATTGGCCATTTTGAAATTTGATGGTCCTGCATTGATCATTGGAAGATTCTTATGAGACTTTCTTCTCGATTAAAATGCTCAGAGCCTTCTAAGAAAATGATCAGCTTTCATTATTTTTGTTTGTTTTTCAGTTTAGTTTTTTTCTCTCCAGCAGTTTTGTATGTTAAATGTTTTATGATTAAAGTGTGAAGAATGATAATTGACAGCAAGGTTGTATGTAAACATTTTGTTATATAACTCTCCTGGAGGCGAATGAATCACACAGGAAAAACAATGTTTTTTTTATAACAATTCTCAAAGGTGAGCTTTTGCTTTTACCATGTGTCCAATGTGCACTGTTTAAACTTTATGGTGTCAAACATTTTCTCAAAACAACATCTCCATAAGATTTGTTTATACCATTTATTTGTTTGCTTATAGAAAAAGTAAAAAAGTCAAGAGTTGCCCCTGTCTGGTGATGGCTGTTGTAAGATTTGTTAAAGCAATATTTGCAAACACCAACTGATGTAAGCAATACTTTTGTATTGTTTTATATTTATGCCCCCACAATGTGGGAGCATATAGCGTTGCACTTGTCCGTCCGTCCGTCAGTCCGTCCGTCCGTACGTCCCGAAATCTTGTGAACGCAACTCCTCTTAACCGGATGGCAGATTTTGCTTAAACTTACAGGGATGAACAACCTTAATGTGTAGATGGTAGTAAAGGAAGGAATTTTTGTGCGACCAAATTTAACAGAATTATGGCCCTTTGTTGATTTTTTCACTATATACTATGTAGAAATTTTGTGAACGCAACTCCTCTTAAACAGCCATGGCAGATTTTGCTTTAACGTAATCAGGGATGAACATCGACTTTAATATGGTTGTTGATGGCCATGAAAAGGAGGAATTATTTCTGGCTGGCGTACACCGAAATTTATACAGAATTATGGCTTTGATTACATATTGTTCACCCTATAACTCATCTAGACAAATTATCTTCGTGACAGAATTGCCCTTTTTAAGACAGTGTATGAGCGAAGTTTTGTTAAACTATACCATGGGTATTCTTGAACACAACTTAATGATTAAACAGACAGAACAAGGGTAGGAATGTTTTTGCTAGACGAAAATTAAAACCATTATGGCCCTTTTGTTTGAATTTTTTTTCACATATACCATCTGTAGAAATTTTCGTTGTAAATCGAACTTCGCTTTAAACTGGTCAATGCAGACTTTTGAACTTTAAAATTAAGGGAAATGAAAACAAACTTAGGGAAGTATCAGTCAAAGAAGAATTTTGGCGCTGACCAAATTTTCGTATTATAGGCGCCTTTGGTCTGAATTTTTTCACTATATACTATATAGAAATTTTGTGAATGCAACTCCTCTTAAACTGGATGGCAGATTTTGCTTAAACTTCCAGGGATTAACAACCTTAATGTGTAGATGATAGTAAAGGTAGGAATTTTTGCTGTGATCAAATTTAACAGAATTATGGCCCTTTGTTGATTTTTAGTTTTCAACTTGTGGCACATGTAGTCCAAAAAATATTTGACCTGGAGTCATAAGATTGACAGAACAGTGGCGTGTGGGGGCATCCGTGTCCTATGGACACATTTCTAGTTTCATTAAGTTTTGATCTTTATTTTACAGATTCAGCTGCTATAGCAATGGGTGATAGATTTACTCAATTGTACACGGGTCTATATATAACATCTGTTATAGTAGAGGATTCTGGGACGTATCTGTGCCATGCCTCAAATATGGCAGGATCTGTAGAAAATGAGGGCACTCTTGAAGTGTTGGGTTAGTATGCAATGTTGAGTTCTTAATACAAAATATGACATGCTTATATTGATAAGGGAGGTATCAGATATACATTTCATTTCATGAAAAAAAGATAAATACATTAGCGTCTGTAACAAATGGTTAAGGTAGTTATCTTCAAACCTTGTTTCACCTCAGCACTGCTGGTTCAAATCCCATCAGGGACTTAGGATTATTTTTTGTGAGGAACCTATCAAGCTAGTTTACAGAATGTCGATGGTTCTACTCAGATGCCCATTTGTTCCTGAAATAATGCACAGAGGGAAATCTTTCTTCACCAGTAAAGCTTGAAAGTCATCATATGATTTTTTGCAGTTTTATACAGCTGGAATATACAGAATATTATTTTGTAGTAGCTTTCTGAAGCTTTTGTATTTTGCTATGAGTAGAGTCAGAATATTGATATCTCGTGAGACCGAAGGTATTGCTTGATTGTTAGAGGCACTAAAGAGGTTCAATTTATTGGAGTCTATGCATTTTTAGATCCAACAGATGAGCAGGTTTTGCTTAAAATTTGTAACACCTGAGGTCAGCCAAATCCACTTTCCAATTTCTGCACTATGTGACCTAAACTATTTTGGTGCGCAGTAAAAACCAAACAAACAAACTCAAATCATGTGGGATTAAAAGACCATCTCTTGTGTAGAAATTGGTAATTACCAGTTAGTTATCATGAAAAACAGGTTAGGTGGACTGGCCACTTAGATTTGACAAAAAATGTGTTTAAATTGGTGTAAATACCAGGCAAACAAGCAAAAATTTTAGGAAATTTCTCTATTGTGATTCTATGGTATGCAGTATTTGTGATACAGTGTAATTCCTAAAAAGTGTTACTTCTCTTTTTTCAGTGAGACCATATTTTATAGAGAAACCGTCAGACCAGGTTGTTAATATAGGTAAAAATGTGACACTGACTTGTATTGTGAATGGCTTTCCAAAACCAGAGATTACGTGGCACTTTAATGTAAGTTAGTGTATAAAAAGTTCATGCTATATCTTTACAAAAAGGCATGATATTAATGCATGCATGTACATTGTATATTAAAATATAAATTTTGAAAAAATACAGAGATCAACTTGGGCACTTGAAATTGAAAAAAAAATCAGATGAAAAGACACTCAGAATGTATTTGAAAATGTGATAAGTAGCCTGATATAAGTTAAAAATCTTTTAAACACTTTAAAATTTTGGTTATTTTGCATAATAAAACATTATTGTCAAGGAAAACTCAGTTAAAGAAATTTATTTGAACTATTGCACTCAAGATTTTTGGTAAAGAACTACATCAACTGGTTTAAAAATCTCAAAAAGAACAACAAATTTGATGGTTTCTAATCTCGAAATTCTATTTTTAGGAAACGTCAGTTCTCAATAAACGGTAGTCCTTTTAAGTTTTGAATTTTGATATTTCAGGGAAGTTCAATGTTTCCACAGAACACTTTATTATCATTGAACCATGAAGAATTAATGCTGATGAATGTGAGTTGGATGCACATTGGAACATATACCTGTGTAGCTAAAAATGAGGAGGGAGTAAAGAAAGCTGAGGCAACTGTAGCTGTCCGAGGTAAGAATAAATACAAATTTACCCCCACCTCCCATGAATCTGCCTTTTGCCAGCAAACCACTAAATTGTATGCCCTCTAATTTAAATGATTTCACAGTAGTTGTTTTCCCTACATTGTGGTCATCTTGCATCAATATCAAAGCTTATTCTTCAAAGTCACTTTATTTTAAATGACAAAATACAGAAAATTTAAAGCTCTTGAAATGTGTAACAAAGAACTATAGGCTGTTTACTTAGTTACATATTTGTAGAATGACCACAGCTGTTAAAATTGTTTTAATTTTAACGCTGATTTTATTTTTGGTCATATTCAGACAGTTGATCCGGTTAGCCGGCTTTATCATATAAACAACAGCACCGGAGCATAATGTGATGTAATAAAAGTGTTATTACACTAGTGTAATTACACTAACACTTTGATATAAGTCATTTGCATTATGTACAAACAGCGTTTAAAACACGTGAATGTTAATGTTACACAATAGCCACTTCAAGGAAAAATGGAACTTTTACCTGTGAACCATCCTTATTTTTGATATATGATAATTAGAATGTTATGTTAGTGATGATTCAATACTAAATTTATTGAACACATTTAATAAAGCAATATTATGCTCTCCAAGGGCTCACATAAATATGATTTTATTTAACTGGTGCAATAAACTTAATATCAAATCTACACTCGTTCAATGTTCACTGTTTCCTGAACAACTAACAAGTCGTTAACCACTTCTCTGTATGTGACTGACTGATAATCACCACATAATTACCACATAATCACCACATAATCACCACATAATTACCACATAATCACCACATAATCACCACATAATTACCACATAATCACCACATAATTACCACATAATCACCACATAATTACCACATGATTACTGATTCAACAGGTGAAAGAAAAAATAACCAAATGACTCAAATGTTAAAATCAAAGTTATACAATAATTGATTTGAGCCTATTCATAAGCTTGTCTGTTTTGAAGGCACATTTTTTTTTAAGACAAGAGACATTAGCCAGAAAGCCAACCTTTAAGCAGTTATTCCCCTTTTAAAGTTATAATATTTATAAAAATTGGTTATCAACATAGTTTTCCCTCTACAGTCAAGTTTTAATATCGCTTTTTCCCTCTACAGTCAAGTTTTAATATCGCATGCAGTGATCTTGCTTTTTAAATTTCAGTTCCTCCAAAGGTTGAAAGGATTGATGGAGTGCCGTTACTTTACCTTGGGGAGAATATTCAACTCACGTGCCATATAACCGGGATCCCTGCACCCAAAATAGAATGGTACTTTAATAGACAACTTGTGGCCCCGAGCAAAGATGGGAGAATCTCTATACCAGAACCAACGCTCCTTAATGTGAAATTTGCAACCGAAGATGATGAAGGTATTAACAATATGCAATATTGAATTTTGTTACAATGAATGTGTTTGTTGTACATGTATACTGTATTCCAAGAAATGTTTGCGGATACAATATTTCGCGTTTTTCACAACATCTGCATTTTCGCGGAGACAAACTTTCGCGGATTTGTAGTAACTGCGAATACGGCGAATATTAAGTCGCTACGGCCTGAATTACAGATTTTGGAAGCGTGACCTTGCCTGTTTGGTACTTTTAATTATTTCATTTGTTTAACAAGTTGCGCCGAAAGCACTACATTACTCATTACCTTTTCATTCTTTGACCTGTTGAACACGGACGGTTGTTCCGTGAACACTTTTTACTTAACTCCTTACCCTTTTCACTATGACATTAAGTAAGATTTAGTCAGACCTATTAGTTTCTATTCTCATTTGAATTATAACTGACTTTATCTTCAAATTATTACACAGTATTGGACAGTACATGGCTTTCATTATAACAACATAACTGCTATTTATCAATGTAGCTTTATATTGTTCTTTTAACAAAGGATTACATCTACTCTAAGCAAATAAATCATTCAATGTATGCAAACTGTAAATGTTTTTGGATACGCCGTGACTAGGGAATAACGTCAATAAGCATGATAATTACTAATGATTGACAAACAGGTATCTATAACATGCATATATATTTTTTACACATTTCTATAGCACGGGTTTATATGTTTTTTGTGTAAGTAGATTATGATTAATATTCTGCACGTTTATGTTTTATTTGGTTGAAACGAGAAATGTTGTTATAAGTGACATATTCGCGGATATAAAGATTCGCGGAATCATGCCTACCGCGAAAAGCGCTAACTTAAAATGCGCGAAATCTTTTCTAGGAATACAGTATTTGATATTTATATTATCTATATATATTTTTCTACATTTAATACATGTATTACATGCATAAATACTACCAGATAGAAAAAAAACACAGTATTACACTCATATATAATCTGGAATGGCCTATATGTCATGGTTGAATGTAAAAGTTAAATGTAGAAATTATATGTTACTTTGGTACTTGTATGACTTTTATTTTGTTACGCTAAAACGTTTGGGTTGTAGCAGCGACTGTTACTGAGAAAGTTGAAACAGGTCATGTATACATGTATATTTATATTTCAGGTATATATTCATGTAAAGCTATTAATGCAGCTGGGGTCAGTCAGAAGGATATAGATGTTTATATTATAAGTAAGTACATGTATTACATATATGCTCCTGTCATATAATCTCCCTTTCCTGGCCTCCGTGGCCAAGTGGTAAAAGACACTGACTTCGAATCACTTGCCCCTCCCCCATGTGCATTTGAATCCTGTCAGGGACTCTGGATTCATTCATGTGAAGAACTGTTTAGCGAGCGTATGGAACGTCAGTGGTTTTATTCAGGCCTGCTCATGTCTTAAAAAATATACAAAGGGGCACCTGAGGTGACTCTCTCTTCCAGTACAGCTGGAATGTCACCATATGATCTCTACAAAGTCAGTGTAACTTTACTAACAATATTCACCCGTCATATTTTTTTGCTCAATATTGTATGCTTAAAAATGAAAGAAATAATTTTTTTTAGAATTTTATGATTGCTTTTAACAAAAGATTGCCTGTGCTCACATTCAATGACAGCAATATGATGTGTTTGAATTAACAGTTTTGTTAACCCTAAGTTTGCTGTCAGTAACTAATTTTACACATGTAATCAGTGCAGGCCAAAATCAGCCAGGACCTCTGTGCCATCTGATCTGCACTGTTCCCTTTTTTGAAATTCTCTGTTTTACTTAAGGTTAGATATATATTAAATGATGGTTAGATCCATTTTAGTTATTAAGTGTGCTAAGTGTTAAAGTTTTCTTTTTTCAGCTCGTCCAAGTCCCCCTGTGTTGATCAATGCAGAGACTGTATCAGCTACTAGTATCATGTTAACATGGTCCATTAAACAACGTCAGCCACAAACTCCTATCGATCACATCTTTGTCTCATATCGTAAACAGTAAGTACACCAGGCTAGAGTTATTGTAAATGTAACTAAAAACACAAGGCTAGATTTGTCAACAGTAAGTACAAAAGGCTAGAGTTGTTGCAAACAGTAAGAATTGGAGGCCAAAGTTGTTTATTTTTATATCATAAACAGGACGTAAATGAAGCTAGAATTGATGAATTCAATATTTGTAAACAGAAAGTAAAAGAGGCTAGAGTTGTTGAATTTCTAGTTGAAATTGTACTTGAAAAGGTATACATTTTGTATTTTACATAATTATGAAATTTTAAACATTGACAAAAGACATGGTAACTTTTTCACTTGAAAAAAAATGTATTTTGCGTTTTTCACACACAAAATTGTTTACATGGGAAAAAAAATTTGCATGGAAGAAAATATAATTTGCAAAAAAATAGTCTGTATGGAAAATAAAAATTGTTGGCATTGAAAATAATATTTTTGCATGGAAAATAGATATTGTTTTCAAGAAAAAAAAGATAATTCATTATTGTATGATATTTTTGTTTCAGTATACAGTCATCAAGCCCTTACATGAAACTAGAAGTAAACTCTGATGTAACAGAGTACTTGGTGGATGATTTGGACCCGGCTTCACACTATATGTTTCTTTTATCAGCCATGAATTCTGCAGGAACCAGTGACATCAGTAATATATTGTCAGCTTTAACTTATGATGCTGGTAAATGGACACTTTATTTTTATAAAAATTCCAAATTTTCACTCATATAAGTTCCAATGATTTCACTCACAATATGCGTAATTGTCTTTTGAAAAAATCATTCTAATAGTTAACACCACTGACTATAATGTTTTAAAAATTTTAGAACAAGTATCATATTTATACAATAATTAATGTGATACTAGGTATTCATGTAGGCATCAGCATGTGACTTGGTTAAGTTTTTTTTTTATTCTTTGAGATATGGCTTTGAAACTTAAAGTAGGTGTTTTTTGACCATTACAATCACTTTCTGGCCGTTTTGTGCACCAACCTTCCATAAGCTATATAAATTACCTTCCTCAAATGAAAGACTCCACAATTCTTGCATATCAGACTGGTGTTTCCATTAGTCAAGTTTCATAACTCTGTATTGTTTCCATTAGTTTTACCCATGCTGGAAATTTCATCTGAGATAGGGGGTACCAGATGAGTCGTGTGCTATACAAAGGCATGCTTAGGATGACGTAATTCCGCTGTTATGAATGAAGTCTTTCATACGCTGTTGTAAGAAAATAGTTACGGGTGTAATGACATAAATTTCCATGCAAAATTGTTTTATTGAGGTAAAGAATTTAAGATATGATGGAATATGGTAGAACATGCAAGAAAAAATAACTGACATAATTATGTTTGCTGTTAGGATAAGAATATTTTTACCTTGGGAACCTGCCCATCTCCAAGAACAGATACTCCAATCCGAATAGCAACATATGACACTCAGATATTATTAAAAAAGAATGACATATTCAAACCTACAGCAGTAAAGGGCAAGTGGTTCATTCACAGAGACCCTTAAAGAAGTATGAAGATCTCTACAAATCAAAGTAAGCATTTATGAAATTAATGGTAAATGTTAAAATAAAAGTTTGTCTCATTTGGAAAAGATTACTACTATTTAGAATATTTTACAGAGTTTTGTAATTATTTCAGGGCCATCTAAACCGAGAAATCTTCAAGTTATGGAGGTCACAGCATATAATATAAGTGTTGGTTGGGAAATTCCAGAAACAACAAATGGTCAAATAAAGAAATACCAGATCAATTACAGAAAGAAAAATGACCTCCAGGGTATGGTATTTTTATAATTAGGGTATTATACCTGTATTTTGCTTTAAATTTTTTAATTCCTTTGTAAGATGAATTAATTTGAATTTTAATGAAATATTATTTTCTTATATAAATTTTTTTTAATGATTTTATGAAGGAGACAATTTTTCGAAAATGTTATAAAACTTAACTTAAATCATCAAAAATTTTCAATCCAGAGGATTAACTTGTATTTGTTCAAGAAAATGATAATGTTTAATAATGTAAAGTTTTTAGATGACTTTTGAGACATAGTAAATAATACATCTAATATCTTATTTTTGATTTTTTAGAAGATTTTCCTTTACTTACCAGGAGGCTTGCCACTTGAATAATTGATTGAATATTTTCAGAGCAAAATAAATTTGTTGCTAATCAATGTTTTTCATTTATTTTCAGATTCCACTATAATTATAGGAAGTGATAATCACGCTAACCATGACTATATTATACCTGACCTGTCACCTTACACATGGTACACCATACAGGTTAGAGCCGCTACCATAGAGGGGGATCAGGTCCTCTGGGGAAACTGGACTAATCCAGTTGAAACTAGAACTTCACAAACAGGTAGTCTTCTTAATAAAGATAAAAATATTCCTAGATACTAATTTAAAAGAACTCCAAAGAAGTCTATTGAAGCCTAAGAATTGATATTTAATTTGATATTCTTACATGGATCAACTGATGTGTTAAAAAAGAAAGAAAAATATACAAAAGATGAAGAAAAAAATATGTTCAGAATCGAATTAAGTCTGTAATTTATAGGATTCTTGGCTTGCATTGATACAGTTTTCAATTTTCAGAGTAAAAATCTTATTTGATATTTATTTATGGTATGTTGTTTACATAAAGAATATTTAAAGTGACATAATGCTCTTTTTTTTGCTGTCAAGTGGAGCTGAATATGCTATGTATTTCAAAAGATTGACTTTTATAATAGTACCAGTAATTGACAAATAATTAATAATGGCAAATGTTTAGGAGGGATTATAAAGAATGCCTAAAATACAAAAAGACTATCCCACCTTTTTGTCTAATGAATGTTACTGAACAAAGTTCAAAATATATTTATAGAAATTTACTTGAGAAACATGAATTAATCAATTGTTTCTGCAAAATCAAAATGTTAAGATATTTATTGTACACTACAGTATTTTACTTTTTACCTGGTCTCCCACCATTTTCACTTGGATGAGTATAATATCACTTCAATCCACCATCTTTTAAAAGATAAAGCAGCATGCCTTATTTCTTATTTGTTTTAGAAAAAACCCTGTTAATGTTACATTGCAGCTCCTACAGGACAACCTAGTGAAGTGAAGGCCCAGGCATTATCTCCCTTTACAATACAAGTGACATGGGAGGTAACAATTATAATTAATACATATTTCTCATCAGAATTGATGTTATTACATTCACTATTGAAAAGAAACTTGTGGAGCTCATGTTGAATTCCACTTTTTTTTTTAAAGCTTTTCTTATAGGCCTGATAAATATATTTTGTTGTCAGCTCTAATATTATTCTTTGTACTTAGTGAGATACAATTAGCACTCATTGATGAATACATGTATTAGCAATTAACAATAGGAATTCTTCTTTTATTAGTTCTTAACATGCTCGACCTTTACCTTGCTGGTGGAAACAGAATCTAATCATGTGACCAGTACAGACTAAGATCAGCAGGTTCATCCATGCCGTCTGCCCATTATTACTTCACTGTCACATTAACCAGACAGTACATATTTTGAAAATTTCCCTAAAATTGATGAATAGGTTAGTCCAGATTGAAAAATGGACAAGTCCATTAACGATATTGGATACATTCATAATTTTAGTGAAAGTAAGGTTTAGTTTTATTCCTGTTTTCTATCTATAGATTTTTCTTCTCCTTGTTATCGTGTAGGCAGTTCCACAGCAGAAACAGAATGGACCAATAAAACGTTATTATGTCAAATATTGGTTGCTAAGCAACTTGACTAAACCTGAAGGTGAAGAGGTCATTGATTCACTTGACCTTCAGGCAAACATAAGTGGCCTTGAACCTTGGACATTGTATATGGTAAAGGTTATTCCAGAAAATGCTGGAGGAGAAGGGGAGGCAAGCGAACCAGTCACTGTAAGGACATCTCCTACAGGTTAGTTCCCCTGATTTATTCATAAATTTAAGTAACAGGGAAAAAATTATTCAGTATAATCTTGTGTATATTTTCTACTTTTATATATATTATTACAGATTTCATTTTATTTTTAAAGTGCATATTTTCTCTGCTTCAATTATATGAAATACATGTATACAGGGGTTCTGACTTCCTTACCCCCACATAAAGAAAGACGAATTAGAGTAACATAGAGTTTCCTTTTTTCTGAGACAGAGATTGGGTTCCATGTTTATTTGGCCATTACAATGTTCTCATTTTATAACTTGATTATATGCTTTGAAATATTTCTTATCCAGACTGTTTATCTGTTTTAGCTCCAGGTTCAGCACCTTTGAATTTGACAGTTGAGGTCCAGTCAGCTTCATCGATCTTGGTCAAATGGCAGGTTGGTCGTTAGATATTAAAATAAAACAATTTTTTTGGAATGAGTGAGTATTAATTGAAATATTGATATTGTATATATTTCTTCATGCCTGAAATTATGTGCACAGTGGTTCCCTTCAACATGAAAGCAGGAAAGTCAAACCTCAAATTTAATATTTTCATTATATTAAGATGTTACAAGATTCACACATATTTTCCTATATACATGTATATGTAGAAAACAGTAATAAAATAATTCACGATTTGTTTTCATTTATGTCTGGTCACTGCATGTACAGGGCAAACATGACTTATTGAACAGTAGGATAGTTTTATACATTTATGAGGGTGAAAATGAGGACAATATAATAAATTGCAGGGGAATGAACTGTTGATCTTAAAATGAATCATTTATGAACTGTGTATACTTGTATATATTTACTTATACACCAATTTGACCTTTCTATTGTTATTGATTGTATAGTATTAATTTTTTATGACAGTACATGAAAAAAGCATTTTTGTCTTCATGTTATTAAGGTTTAACCGCTAATGTAACACAGGTTCTTAATTATTTCCTTATAATAGCAGCAGATGTCATTGCTTTTCATTGGATAATTGTGATGGTTGTATTTTAAACTAAAAATTAAACAAGGCTGCTGTCCATTTATACTGTTCATTTATGAAGTACTTTCATTTTTTATCTCAAATAAAGAAACTTCACTGGATATAAAGATTTTTTTGACAGATTCTATGCTGTATATAATTTGTGGTTTGTGATAAGACCCTCATAAAAGAAATTTGGTTACTGTTTATCTATTTGTCATATAACCTGGCTAAAAAATAATATATCTAATATTATAGCCCCCTTCACCTGAAGACTGGAACAGTGATATATCAGGATTTATAGTACAGTACTGGAGGCTTCCAGATGGTGATATCTCCCAGCTGATATCCAATGGTATACTTGATCTAGCTGCTATTATTAGGTAAGGGATATTTTGTTGTTGTTGTTGCTGCTGCTGCTGCTCTTGTTCTTTTTGTTGTTGTTGTGATCAATGTTTGTAGATGGATATATCAAATTGTATGAATAAATCTTCATGTATATATAAGTTTTATCACATTATAAGTTTCACCATAATCTTGTTCTTGGAAAATCAAGTAAATATTGTAGGACATGTATTACAAACAAAGAACAATGTAGCACCATTTTAAAGTATTTTTTAACAAGAATTTCTATCAAAATTACATTTTGTTGTTGGACTATGTGTGTCAGTAAAGTCTTATTATTTAATTTCAAACATAAATTTTAAATATAAATGACCCCTTAAAGTCAGTGATGTAATTATATTAAGTATTATGTGTCCAAAATTATGACAATTTGTGTAGAATTCAATGATCAAATTTTATTTTATTTCCTTTTTTTATAAACAAATAAATGAAGAAAAAAAATCATTTTAAAGTTTGCAATTGTTAAATTCAACAGATAAAAAGGATTAAAGTTACGTTGTGGTCATATATTTTTGCTGTCAAGTTCATCTGAATTAGTAAATATATTTCAAAAGATTTACTTTTATCATGGTGATTTACCAATAATTTATAATGAAAAACGTTAAGGTAAAAACTCTCTACATTATAAGAAGACTGCCCCACACTTAAAAAAGATTGACAGCCACAGATACATTCAGAATGTTATGTATAGAAATTTCCTGTAGTCGCATGCATTATTATTCTTTCATAGTAAAATATAAAATTGAACACAATGCAGAAGGCAAAATGTAAAGATATTTTGAGTTGAACCTGTGCCCTCACCATTTACACTTGAATCCACATAATGTCACTGTAATATTCTGAACAATTTTGATGCGCACTTTTATCTATGTCTGTTTGGATATTTCCAGGAATTTGGACCCTTACACAGACTATGGTGTACATGTAGGGGCATTTACAAATCAAGTTACTGATGGTATAGGACCAAACACAGACAATGTTACAATAAAAACTGACCAATCTTGTAAGTATAAGATAGTTAATTACAAAGTTGGTTATGGTGTCAAACATTGGACACAATTATTTTAACAATATGTCTTATTCATCATGTAAATTTTCTAGTTTTAAGTTATTTAAACTTTCTGTTAACATAGAGTGGCTTATACATGTATGGTTGTTTACAAGTGTGATCATTTTCATCTAACATATTAAGTGTCGGAACTTTGAACAAATTTAAACAATGTTATAAAAGAGAACTCCTACTATGCTTTTAAGCTTGTCTATTGGAAGAATAGGGAGAGCTGTTGTACTTAGGTCAGTGTCCATATCGTCTGCATCCTTTGGTAATGTTTTTGCATGGTTGGTGTATTCAAAACTATGAAAGGTAATTATGCCCCCATTTCGAAGAAAAGGGGGTATATTGCTTTGCACTTGTCGGTCCGTCGGTCTGTAGACCAAATGGTTTCCGAGTGATAACTAAAGAACCCTTAGGCCTAGGAACTTCAAACTTGGTATGGTGATTGGTCATGACCAGTAGATGACCCCTATTGATTTTGGGGTCAAGGGGTCAAAGGTCAAGGTCACATTGACCTTGTAAGCAAAAACGGTTTCCGATCAATAACTAAAGAACCTTATGGCCTAGGAACTTCAAACTTGGTATGGTGATTGGTCATGATCAGTAGATGACCCCTATTGATTTTGGGGTCAAGGGGTCAAAGGTCAAGGTCACATTGACCTTGTAAGTAAAAACGATTTCTGATCAATAACTTAAGAACGCTTAGGCCTAGGAACTTCAAACTTGGTATGGTGATTGGTCATGACCAGCAGATGACCCCTATTGATTTTGGGGTTAAGGGGTCAAAGGGCAAGGTCACATTGACCTTGTAGGTAAAAATGCTTTCCGATCAATAACTTAAGAACCCTTAGGCCTAGGAACTTCAAACTTGGTATGGTGAATGGTTATGATCAGTAGATGACCCCTATAGATTTTGGGTCAAGGGGTCAAAGGTCAAGGTCACATTGACCTCTTGGGTAAAAACGGTTAACGATCAATAACAAAAGAACCCTTAGGCTTAGGAACTTGAAACTTGGTATGGTGATTGGTTATGACCAATCAGATGACCCCTATTGATTTTAGGGTAAAGGGGTCAAAGGTCAAGGTCACATTGTACTTGTAGGTAAAAACGGTAAAATCTGATCAATAAGGAAAGAACCTTTAGGGCTAGGGACTTCAAACTTGATATGGTGATTTGTCATGATCAGAATATGACCCCTATTGATGTTGGATCTTGTAAGTAAAAACGGTTTCTGATCAATAACTTAAGAACACTTAGGCCTAGGAACTTCAAACTTGGTATGGTGATTGGTCATGACCAGCAGATGACCCCTATTGATTTTGGGGTTAAGGGGTCAAAGGGCAAGGTCACATTGACCTTGTAGGTAAAAATGCTTTCCGATCAATAACTTAAGAAACCTTAGGCCTAGGAACTTCAAACTTGGTATGGTGATTGGTCATGACCAGCAGATGATCTATTGATTTTGAAGTCAAGGGGTCAAAGGTCAAGGTCACATTGACCTTGTAGGCAAAAGCTGTTTCTGATCAATTAACTAAAAACGCTTTGGCCTAGGAACTTCAAAGTTTGTATGATGATTGGTCGTGACCAGCAGATGACCCCTATTGAGTTTTGGGTCAAGGGGTCAAAGGTAAGGTCACATTGACCTTGTAAGTAAAAACGGTTTCTGATCAATAACTTAAGAACGCTCAGGCCTAGGAACTTCAAACTTGGTATGGTGATTTGTCATGACCAGCAGATTACCCCTATTGATTTTGGGATCAAGGGGTCAAAGGTCAAGGTCACATTGACCTTCTAAGTAAAAACGGTTTCTGATCAATTACTAAAGAACGCCGCGGCCTAGGAACTTCAGACTTGGCATGGTGATTGGTCATGACCAGCAGATGACCCCTATTGATTTTGGGGTCAAAGGTCAAGGTTACATTGTCCTTGTATATTTAAACGGTTTCCGATCAATAATAAAAGAACCCTTAGGCCTAGGAACTTCAAACTTTGTATGATGATTGGTCGTGACCAGCAGATGACCCCTATTGAGTTTTGGGTCAAGGTCAAGGTCATGACCAGTAGATACTTGATAACCCTTAATAATTGTTTGATCACTGGGTCAGAAGTCATGCATAATAACCTTATCACATGACTAATTGGCTGCTGGTAGGGGGCATACATGTTTTACAAACATATTTTGTTGGTTGAAACTTCACACACTTGTTCTCTAAGATTTTTACACATGTTGGACACAGGTCCCATAACTCTCAGTTGCCTTTATATAGATTTAAGCCCTATTTTTACTGTCAAGCACTGAGAATAGTCAAGTGCACTGTCTTACAAACAGCTCTTATTGTAAAATGAACTTGCCTTCTTTGCCATGTTTTTTTCTGAGATATTTTTTTATATGAATTATCATAGTTTATTTTCCTGTATTTGCAGATCCTGGTTCTGTTGTTGACCTTGACTTTTCAGCAACACCAACAAGTTTGAGGTTGTCATGGAAACCGCCAGCCGTGACAAATGGCATCATCACTAAATACCTCATTTTGTATCATTCCATTGGTCCTGTAGTTGTTACCACACCTTTTCCACCATCTCAGCCAATCATTGAAGAGCACATTGATGAGATATTAAATAGCACAAGTTTATTGGATGATATTTTTAGAACTTTTGATGATTCTTTGACAGAAGATATATTTCAGCCTCTGGCTGCCCTCTGTGATATTATTCTGCACAATGAAACCTTAAATAATCAAGTGGAGAATATAACTGATATCATCCAATCAGAGGAAGTGTTACAAATTAAGAATATATCAAGTAATGTAGTGTTTGATTGGATGGAAAATGAACAAATCAGACTTGGTGAATTATGTTTGAATCTTAGAAATTTTGTGATACATCTATTATCAGGTTTGTATTTTTGTTTAACTAAATGATTTGATGTTTGTTAAATTTCATGACTTGACCGATGAATTATTCTAGAACATTGTCTAATTTCATTCCCATATGATTCTCTCCAAAAGTTCTTCAAAACCTGTTATAATATTATGAAATAAAAAAATGGACCTAGAGACATGCAGGGATAGTCTAGGAACAAACTACATGCATTATTTTGAAATTAGCCCTGCTTATACATTTATTATTTTTTGGGGTTGGGTTGACGTCACACCAACATGGTATAGGTTATATGGCGACTTTTTAGCTTTACTTACATTTGTATGGTGGAAGAAGACCTCGGGTGCCCTTCTGTGCTTTATTTCAGACAGGGACAGACACCTGATTAGAACCATTGACATTCCATAAGCTCTCTGGATAGTTTCTTTACATGAAAGAATCCAAAGTCCCTGGCAGGATTTGAACTCACAGGGGTGAGGGGCAAGTAGTTTGAAGTCAACAACCTTATCTACCTGGCCATGTATGCCTCTTGCTTAAACATGTATATGATTATATTTACAGATAAACACATATCAATATATGTATTAAACATGACAACTAGTAAAACATCAGTTACAATATCTGACCTAGAATCAGGACACATCTATAACATATCAGTATCAGCAGCAACAGTGGCAGGGTTCGGTCCTTATACCACCATAGAAGCTATCACAGGTAAGTTGGTATTTTAGTAAAAAAAATTTCTTAACACATTTCACTACCTTAGTACAGTAAGGGGTTTCCATCTACATGTATTATGAAATACATAATAGGAATTAATCCGTTACCTATCTAAGATGACAATCTATTTTCTTCACATTTATTTTTGTTTACATATCTATTTACTGAACACATTTTCTTTGTTTTCCTTGAACTTTTTCAGTACTGATTTTGTGTAATGGAATAGTCTTGTGTTTGAATTTATTAGTGTGTTGGACAGTTTTAAGCTTAAAATTTTCGCAACTTGTTATTATTTGGGGTTATTTTTGTGGGGTTTACATTGCACAACATAGTGTAGGTCATATGGTGAGTTCCAGCTTATCTGGTGGAGGAAGACCTCATGTGCCCTTCTGTGCATTATTTCAGGCACAAACTGGTTCCTGAGTAGAACCACCGATGTTCTGTAAGTTTGCCGGATAGCTTCCTCAGGCAACTAACTGTAGGACTTATTTTCTCAGACACCTTTTTTTGTATTCGATAGTCTTTTATTATCTGTGCTAGTGTAAAATAGCAGTGCCAAGTGGTGTCAAATACAGTCCATGACTCAGCAAAAATATTTTCTTTTTACATTTTGTATTTCAGCAAATGCTCCGCCTACCCCTAGGACGACAAAGCGTCCTGTACCTCCGGTTACTAGGCCATCGGTAACCAACCGTCCATTAATGAAGACAGATGAGGAAACAGAACCTCTCAATCTACCAGTGATTATAGGGGGTGGGGTATCAGGCTTCTTACTGCTGGTGATTATAATCCTGGTTGGTGGATGCTTGTGTATGAGGCGGAGATCTCAGTCTGACGAGAAATCAAAAGGTAAACTTTTTCTTGATGGTCTCATTTTAAAGCAGCGTGCCTCCAGATTCTTGCTAATTTTCATGACAATTTTTGTATTCAAATGTAAAATATTGTCAAGTGAACAAAGATAATAACTTACACAGTGCAAATGACACTTGGAATCTTGGAAATAGCAAAAATAGGTCAGAATATGCAAAAATAGCCCTTAATGCATTAGATACAAGGGAAAATATGGTGATAAATACTGAAAAATCAGTCATTAAAATATTTTGGTTCATCTGCAGGCTTGCAGCTTTTAATAATTTTGATGATCTGATAGAGTTGTTGTTGAATATACAGCTTGATCAAATTCTATAGGTGGCACAAGAACATCATATTTGCAAAATAAAATCCTGCATGTGGCAGTCATGAACCTCATATTTGCAAGATCAAATTCTATACTTGGCACATACACTTATATTTGCTAGATTAATTCTTATCTGTATGAACCTAAAATTAGCAAGATCAGACCCTGTGTTCAGCACATGTTTTTTTTATCAGAAATTTGCTAAAATGTTTGTAATGTTTGGTTGTATGTTTTAGTAATAGCAGAGGAAACTCTTGAAGATACAAATGCAAACAACATGTACGGTCAATTAGATAGACCTAGGTAAGTGCATAGTTACTTTATTTTTTTCCTTTGAAATAGTTCCAGTATTATTTACATAAATTATATTTATTTATTTCTCCTTCACTTTTCTTCTTTTCAGAATTATTAACATTTAAAAGTTATTAAGTTGCCAATGATAAAAGTATTGCTAACAACTTGTAAGTAAACTGTAAGCACCATAGTTTAAGGATTTTTAGCACACACCGTGCCGATTTTTGGACTCTGAAAAAATGGTATTGCATGGATGTGACGTCATAATTAGCGTTATACAAACATAGTGTAAAGACGCGCTAAATATGTAAATGTTATACTATAGGCGCGTCAATGAAAAATGACTCTTATTTCACTTTAAGCGATCTTTATTTTGGGTATGTGATAAATAGAATATTAAATTTGTGTAAGTTCATTACTGAATTTATTGCACTCATGATATTATGCTCGCCAGAGGCTCGCATAATATAATTTTATTCAACTCGTGCAATAAATTCAGTTTTGAACTTACACTCATTCAATATCCTCTATATATTATACCTTAAAACAGTTGATAAACTTCTCTTTTATCATGATTACAGTTTATAACACTTCTCTTTTATCATGATTACAGTTGATAAACTTCTCTTTTATCATGATTACAGTAATACCCCAGCTATTTTATCATGATTACAGTAATACCCCAGCTATTTTATCATGATTACAGTAATACCCCAGCTATTTTATCATGATTACAGTAATACCCCAGCTATTTTATCATGATTACAGTAATACCCCAGCTATTTTATCATGATTACAGTAATACCCCAGCTATTTTATCATGATTACAGTAATACCCCAGCTATTTTATCATGATTACAGTAATACCCCAGCTATTTTATCATGATTACAGTAATACCCCAGCTATTTTATCATGATTACAGTAATACCCCAGCTATTTTATCATGATTACAGTAATACCCCAGCTATTTTATCATGATTACAGTAATACCCCAGCTATTTTATCATGAATTACAGTAATACCCCAGCTATTTTATCATGATTACAGTAATACCCCAGCTATTTTATCATGATTACAGTAATACCCCAGCTATAGCAGTGGCAGCAGAAGATGGAACAGATTCTGTAGATATCTACGGTGATGAGGTCAGATTTCAGTCACCTCAACGTCATCAGTATAACCAGGTAAACTGTCTGTCAAACGAGGGGTCATGGGTTACAGGGTTACAGAGGTTGCACCTTTCTTTGGCTACAACATATTCTACATAATGACATCATGATGAACATAAACTGCCAGATCTTGTCTCATAGTTATGCTTAAATAAAATTTAGTTATTCTAAATTGTATTCTCTTCTTTGACATTGTGTCAATAAAAATTGTGCTTCTATTAAAAAATTTCTGAGATGGTTTGTTTTAAATTTACACTGTTGGTTTTGGTTTATCACACACAAAAAAAGTGCCTTTTAACGTTTTGAAGTGGCCCTCAGTGATGCATTTGAGACAGTCATTTTGGACTTCAGCCCTATAAAAATTTAGATTATAAAATTTATGGATAGAAAACGACACTCAGAAATGCATATTACAACATGTATTAAATGTCAAAACATGATTATATTTCATTCATTTTAGCACTTTAAGTCATGTCAGAAAAATGTCAGTTGGTGTGGTTGCATTTCAAAAATATTTTTTCTTTGTTTTATGACATTTAACATGTATATAGTATGTTTGTTATTACAGAGTGCAAATAGGTCATACATGACAGAAGAGAGTACTACTACAGTGTCAACTCATGGTCGTCGTGGCAATGAATCTTATCTAGGTATGTATTTTGTAGATTATTATCACAATTGACTGAATTTATACTAGGACAAGTGTTAACTGTTATTTTTCACAGTCTATCAGGTTTTGAAAGTCGCACCAGGTTTGCTGACTAAAAAACGTGGATCAAAGGTTTTAAAGAATTTTTCTCAGCTCAAAACTTTGATCTTAGCTATCTGATTGGTCAGAAATCAGCACAGAAAGTATATTGACCGATGAAAATGATATTTGAGACAAATCTAAAAAAAAAACTTCATGCAACCTCAAGAGGTGATTGGTTCAATTCCTGCCAGGGAATGTTGCATTCTTTGTTTAAAAACTATCGGGCAATAGTTATCTGATTGCAGGTGCTAGTTTAAATCATATGTCACCTTTAATATTCATATGTGGCTTAATATTGAAGCAAATACGGATTTTTCTTTTCTTACTGATTTTTACATATTTGAATTAAATAAAGTATTACATGTGTATTATGTAATTCTTTACAAATTCTAAATAATTGGAAAAAAAGAGAAAAATTAATGAATATTGTTTAGTTTCTTATAATATGAGAGATTGTTTCGTAATTATTTAATGCATTATTTTGTTGGAACCACAAGGATAAGGAAAACATTAAGAAGAATTTAAATATAGGTAACACATAATAAAACAGTATCTTTAATTTAAGTTATATAAAATTGTTATTTTTTGGTACATTTAAGATGCTTTTTTATTTACAAAGGTTTAGAAAATCCATCTTACTCTGGACTAGCAGCTCCTAACACAGTAAAGAGTAATCCAGCATACTATGAAGAGCCATCATCCAGTGACCTTGAGTCAATCTCTGTCAGCATGGCATTCTCATCAGAGGATACCCTCTATGCTCAGGTAAATGTGTAGCATAATCTAGTGACCTTGAGTCAATCTCTGTCAGCATGGCATTCTCATCAGAGGATACCCTCTATGCTCAGGTAAATGTCAAACATAATGTGGGTGCAATTTTTGCTGGATAGGTAAGGTTGTTGACTTTAAACTACTTGCCCCTCACCACTATATGTTTTTAGTCCAACCAGAGACTTTGGATTGTAGAAAGATTGTAGTAGAAGCTATTCAGCTAGCTTAAAGATGTTGTTGGGTCTACTGCTTGTGCTTAAAATAATGCACAGAAGGGCACCTGAGGTATTTCTTTACCAATAAAGCTGCCATATGACCTAAACTGTGTTGGTGCGATGTAAAACCCAACTAAATATAATCTACTGACATTAAGTCAATGTGAGTAACCATGACATTCTTTTCAGAATACTAGTACCTAAAAATAATCAATTGGTTTTTTTTCCATATTGAAAGATTGTTTCTACGTCACACAGTATAGGTCATATGGCGACATTCCAGCTTTGCAAGAATTAGTGGTGGAAGACCTCAGGTGCCCTTCTGTGCATTATTTCAGAATAGAATATTTTATGTATTATCCATACATGTATGTAATGTATGATTGGATTATTTAATATTATCAACTATGTACTCGTGATGTGTTGTATCAAAAATGTATAATTGATGTATTTTAATAATTTTAGGCTGGTGAAAGTACTCTAAAGAGGAAGAATAAAATGAAAAGTTCTGATGCAGCTGCTATAGCAAGGCTCAGAAACAGTGCGCTACCTCCAGGCCTCTCACAGACGGACAAATCCTCGCTGATTAACAATGAGGTTGAGGTGATATATAATGAAAGAACTGCACTGTGATCTCAGGTTGAGTCATTACTCAATAATAGAAATAGCAAGATGATTTTGACAGAAAGTCAGATAAAAAAAAATCAATTAAAACCGGAATTGAAACTTTTCCGTTCCTACTAAAAGTGAAAATTAACAAAAGGAGACACTCCTATGCGAACTATTGTGTATTCTTATCTTTATCGGAAGGTGAAATGTTCCAGAATTAGGATATGCTATAAATACACTAGGATTTCGTTATTTTATATGTTATAAATACAGAAAATGTCAAAACGTTTAATATGATTAATGCTCGAGATAGAGAATATTCTCTGATATAGAGTAGTTAAGAATCCCTAAACAATTTTAGGGATTGAGTAATAAGAGTTTTATGAATTACTCTAGTACTAGTATATTGTTCTGTTTACCATTGCCATATTAAACGATTAATTTGCTCATTTTAAATTAGGATTAGGAATAGAACAAATATAATTTAATAATTTTATTTTGCCCATAAACTGCCTTTGGCAATTTATTTTTCTAATGCTTTCAGTGCAGACCAAGATTAGCAGGCACATCTGTGTCGTCTGATTATGGTCTGCACTGTTCGCTATCCGGTCATTACATATATTTGAAATTTTCCCTAAAAGTTAATGAATGGTTTGTCTAGATTGAAAGATTGACAAGTCGTTTAAGATAAGATATTTAGCATGGTAAAGGTAAGGAATTATATGTACACAGATGAAATTGCAAGCATGTATATGCAAAAGAAATATGAAAGTTTAACTTTTTTTACATTCCATTATTATAATGCTCACTAATGCAGAAAGTTTATCAAACTTTATCAATTTTTCATGTGATTTTCATAACATTAATTTTGTGATGTTTATTTAATCTATTTACATATGTACTTGACTGCTGCATATTCATGTTAAACAAAGCAGGTGTTTTGTAATATATTATGGATATTTGCTTGTATTGCATGTAAGATTGGAATATATATCAAAATGTGAAGACAAGTTAGAGGGATCTATGGTTGAGTGGTCAAGGTTGTTTATTTCAAACCACTTGCCCCTCACTACTGTAGATTTGATCCGCGCCAGCATCTGCAAATTCTTTCATGTGAGAAAGCTATCAAGCTAGCTTACTGAACGTCGGTGGCTTTATTCAGGTGCCTGTTTGTGCCTGAAATAATGCACGAAGGGGCATCTGATGTCTTTCTTAACCTGTAAAGCTTAAAAGTTGTCATAAGACCTGTACTGTGTTGATGCAATATTTTTTAATGCTGCAAGGCAACAAGTTAAAATATAACAGCTGGTGTAAATAAGTAAAATTTAATTTGATCTTGCATGCAAAATGAACTTATTTTATTTCATACTTTTTTGATTGATTTTAGTTGTGTAATGCCTGTTGTCATCAAATCATGTTTAAGAAAAAATAGTTCTGCCAAATGTTTTGAATTTTGTTACAATTTAACATGATATGTACATGTACAAATATGTTAGTGTTTCCATTAATCATGCATATTTTATTTATGTTTATGGGGTGTATTTCTGACCACATTTTCATTTGTTGATGATAAATTCCTTCACAACTGCATTTTAATGTAGTTGTGCAACTGTGACCTTGTATTTTGATAATTTTATCATGAATTTAACAAAATATAGTTTTTTTGACACTACAAATCTGTAACAGATAATATTCATAGATAAGCATGTTAAAAATTTTCTTTTACAGATTTTTTGACTGTTTATATTACAGAATATAAATGGTTTTATGCTATATAACTCTCAGCAACAACCTGTCTTAAGCACCAAAATGACTGCATCCCTTGGCTGGGCTGCTTAACACAGTTTTCACTGTATACTGAACCATGTAACTTTTTCAAAGTTATCTTTAACATTGAAGAATGCATTTATGGTTGTGTTTTAATTATATTTGTATTGATTTTTTTTTACATTTGTACATCATGTACATAAATACTCAGATATTCATACGTAACTGTCATCACCTTGATATGTTTAATACTCTCGTACTAGTCTTTTAGTGTTCATGTGTTCTTTGTGTGTTCTGTACAGTATTGTGTTCTTAACTAGTTTTGAGTGTAAACAAAATGGTTCAAATAAACCTTAAATTTTCATCAAAATCAGGCACAAATAAATATGTGTTTAAAAGAAAATCGATTAATAAAAAAACTCAGGCAATTCCCTTTTGTTTTGTTATTTAAAAAAAACAACAACAAAAAAGAACATTATGTTATTTTGAATTGAAATATTAAAATGTTGCAGTCTTAAAAAAACTTCAGATTAATTTCAAAGTTAAGTGACAAAACAATGTGTTATAGAAGCCAAGAAAATGTTAATATTTTCAGATAGAGCTATTGTTATTTGGGTTTTTTTTGGTTTTTTTGTTGGGTTTTTTTGCCAAAAGGGAAAGGGAAAGTTTACAAGTTCATTTACAATATTGTTGTATTTTTGCCAATCTAACTATGACATTATTGTAATTCATGCAAAAATAATAATTTTGAACAAAGCTGTAGTGTCAAGTGTTATTTAACTTATTATTATTGTTGACCAGTCTAAAACTTTAAGCAGGTGACTGGTTGCATTTCAAATCAACCACTTGCAGACTTGTGTTCTGTTTTTTTTTCTCTCTTGTTTAGCTACTGTGTTGTTACTGAAATTGTTTTTTGCTTGTTTTGTGAAAGGCTGGGCCTTATTAACTTTCAATTCTAGTTATTTAATTCAGATATAATACATACATAAAGTATCCTAATACTGTGTTTAAATATCATTATTATCAGTTTTACATAATGAATATTATCATTTGTTTATGTTATTTACCTTAAGCCTTCTGGTGACAACCCAAGCAACCAGTGCAGACCAAGATCAGCCCTCACATCTCTACTGTCTGATCGTGGTCAGTACTGGTCGCTTTTCAGTCTATTTTTTCAATTTTCTGTTAGAATGATTTGAAGATGTGCAAGCCCAGTTAAATCATATTTATGGTGTGTTAAGGATTAAAAATACTCCTCATGGACATTGAATCTTGATTTACTGTCATCAACTTTTTGGGAAATCTTTCCAGCTAGGTTTTGCTAAATATAATGCTCATGCAGGTTCTCATTTTTGCCAAAGTTCAAAACTGAAAATTGGTGACCCAGTTTGATTAAGTCTGATGTCAAGTGTGAAAAAGATTTAAAATGCCCAGAAAAAGACGTATATTTTTCAATTTATTTGATGTGTCAAGGAATGTAGCAGAATATTTATATATTCATAAATACTTATATATAGGTACCAGTTTTATCAAAGACTTGAAAGATAATTTTAAACAGTAATTGATTTCTTCATAGAAACTTGACATAATAAAAGGAGTAAGCATCCAAAAAAAAAGTTTTATATATAACATTGGATGTAGATATTCCGCTATTTTCAGGTTTCTTAACAGTGCAGTATGTATCTTTTATCTCCTTATCAAACTGTTAAATGTTATGCATATAATCTATGATTATAGATAAAATGAAATATATACTTATATCCCACCTGCAAAGTTTTGTTTATATCATTTAAACTACTACATGTGATTGTGATATATTTAATAATGTTAAATTTACATGTTAAAGGGTAAAACATTAGGATAATACCCAATAACCTGTAGTGATAACCAGGTTATTTAATATATACTCACTGTATTTAAGATATCATTAATATATTTTTGTAAACATTGTGTTACACTTTGTGTTTATGTACGGTTTATTGTAATTTTACTTGCAAGGAATAAATATTATACAATATTCAATATTTTGAGTGTCCTTTCCTTAGGCTCACTTGGAAGACTGGGCTTGCCAAACTTTGTTGCTACATTAAATACATGTAAAGTATTCACTTACTTACTTACTTGTGTTTAAGTTTGGATGATTTCTTTTGAAGGGGGGAGGGGGGTCCATGGCCGAGTGGGGTAAGGTGTTTCAAACCATTTTCCCCTTACTACTGTTGGTTCGGTTGCTGTCAGGGACTTGATTATTTCTTGTGATGAAATTATCCAGCTACATGTTAAGGAACGTTGGTGGTTCTACTTAGAGGCCCGTTTGCCTGAAATAATGCACAGGGGAAGGGGGCTCTTTAGATCTTCCTCCACCATTAATACTTAAAACTGAGTTAAAAGTCGCCTTATAACCTATTTTGCGACGTAAAACCCAACCAAAAACAATTTTGGATGATTATTTTTGCTATATACATTGTACATTGAACCTCGTAGCTTTCACTTACAGTTTCTGTACACATATCATATGATTGATTTGTAAGTCACCTGAGTGTACTTCTGTTGGCTGCAATAGAATGACATGCTGATAGTTTTAGCCAAACAGAAACTAAGAATTTGGAATTTTTGTATCACATTTGCCATATCAATAAATGGGTCAACTACCGTTATGATAGGTATTCTTCTGAAGTCCATCCCCTTTTTAGATAAACTTTACAACAAACAAAATGAGCATAATTTTACTTTAACATGAAGCATGTGTCAATAAGTATTCACTGGCTCTTTCAATGTTTTTTAAGCCCTTTCTTAGCTCCAGTAGGTGAGGTGGTTTTGACGCCTGGTGTTGCTTTGTAAGCTTGTAAACAACGAGGTTAGCCAAAATCAGTTTTCCTTTTTCTGCGCCAAATGACATACACTGTGTTGGTGCACCAAACAAGCAAACAAAAATGTAAGTTATCGCTTTTCAGTTAATGAAGTTCGTCCAAGATGATCAATTCAGTAAACACCATAATATATGGTATGAATTAACTAAATTCTTCTCCTTCATCTTTTAACCTTGAAGTAGATTTTTCACACTTTTTGTCACTTACAATAGTAATACACGAGAATATAACGAAACCAGGGTATTTCTCTTCCTGATGAAACCTAGCGTTTGATTTAGCATCATAATGAATGAATGGTTTTCCGAGATAAAGAATTTCAGTCTATTTGATTAAGTTAGTGATACGAATTTGAATGCCTAAGGTCGAAAAGATGAGCTTTAGCTAATTATGAAATTTATATTGTCAAATTTTCTGCAAGAAATGTTTTGCTCTATTATTCTGTTTCAGACGTCATTATAACATTCCACCTCGACATTATCTGCGGTACAATCAGCTTGATTATTGGAGCAGAAAGACGAGAGACCAAAATGCTGGTTAAGTTTGGTAATGTAAAGTTGTTTTAGAGCCGACTGTGTGTTGGCGTCCGTACATGAACTCTCGTGCACGTGACTCTCGTATTCCGGTTGATAGAACACTGCGTCTTCCACGGAGTACACACGCACTGGAAAAAGATGATCTGCATGTATATCTAATAAGGAAATTATCAAATAACGTGAATTTAAAGTCGGAAAATATATTACATTCTCAGATTAATTTAATTCACGGGTATATTCTATATTACTTAAAGAACATGCCATATTAAACTCAATTTTCAATCAAGTTGATCTTAGTATGAAATAAATATTAATACAGCATTTATATTTGTTTAGAGTTTAAAGAAAATAAAATATTGATCTAGATGAAAAATTTGACATACATGAACAGTCGGGAAATTGAACAGACGGCACCCATGTTCCAGTAGCACCGCACGTGCGCCATGTCCGGAAGCTGTAGGCGGGGCCAAGTGTGTAATTCTGTAGACAGGACATCATGCAGAAACGCCCATAATCCGTCCGCCACCCGTTACACATCCGTGCACCGTGCACAGGAATATTCAGATCGTCGCAAGGGGTAGCTGGAAGGAAATCCCACAGTATACTGTTCTAGTCTTTAAAACCAAAATACTACATGACTGTATTTATGAATGATTAGATCAACCAACAAGAGGATAATATTTTTTGTAGATGGTTCTTTTCAATGTGTAAACTTTGTATGTTCCCTTCTCTAATTAAAGATTTTTTATACACTCCGACTAAATTTAACCTATACTGTAACATTTTTTCATGGCTTTGGCGCATGGCAAACTTGAAACAATTTGTCAACCGTTATTCTGAACATAATCTTCTAGTATTTCTATTTGTACGAATAATTTTCGGAAATGCCGAGAAAATTGTTTTCCAGAAAGCCCTATCAAAGCGGAGTATGCCTTGGAGGATACTTGGATCGGGGATATTGTGAAATTTGATCACAATCATGTAACTGACATACTTACGCCTAACTTTGACGTTGAAGGAACAGTTTGTTTGCAGGCCATTCAACAGTTTTGTTGCCAAGTAGCTGACAGTATGATCACCCCAGGGAAACCTGTATGTAGAGGAGGCATGACTTGAAGTGATGTTCAATTCCGTTCCCATAGGGTCTGTGAACACAGGGTCTATCCAGGTATACAAAGCTGTAGATTGTGTAGCGTTCAATTCTACATTCTCGGGACATCCATCTACAACTGGGGGCTGTATATCTTTTATAGAAATGTAAAAAGCATCATAGACACCATAATACTGACAATTTATCTCTGTGGAATAAATGAGCCACGTCACGACAAAACCAACATAATAGTTTTGCGACCAGCATGGATCCAGACCAGCCTGCGCATTCGCGCAGTCTGATCAGGATCCATGCTGTTCGCTTACAAACGCTATTACAAGTAGAGAAACTGAAAGCGAACAGCATGGATCCTGATCATGATCAGAATGCGCGGATGCGCAGACTGGTCTGGATCCATGCTGGTCGCAAACCCATTATGTTGGTTTTTTTCGTGACACGACTCAAATGAATGCTTAAAACCACACCTTTATACGTACATGATACCACCTTTCGTTTAAAAGTGGAGACAAAATTTTTAATTCACTTGTCTATCAAAGGTCTTTAAAATTGACATGCTAATAAACGCTGTAAGTCTTTTTATGTATTTGAAATTATTATATATGTGTACATATTTCCATGGACTCAAAGATGTAAAGAAGTACATTAATAGTTCAAAGATGGAATATTGAAAACTTATCAAAGACATATTAGATAGATTTACAATAAAATCTTGATATTCAATGTATCGTTTGTTTTAAATCGCAGTTTAAATTCATCGGACGGGTAATAACTAGCTAAAGAGACTTCAGTGAGCAGGTTTTATAGTACTGCTAGACATGTTTACCGTCGCAACGTCAAAATAAAAGCGACATTTAAAGTTATGTTAACAATAGCTTTCGATGATGATAAACAAAGATTTTATTTTTGATTGTATGTTTTTACAAAAAGTGTTCCATGAGTGTCAAAAATGCAACAAGTGGTCTTACCTACGTCACAGATATCACCAGTCCACCCTTGATCACAGTCACACCGGAAGTCGCCAATAAGATCAACACACGTGGCGCTGTTCATACACGGTGTACTACTGCAATGGTCTACCGCTAGAATAAAGCGCTTATACAGTGAACACAAGTTATAGATAGATAGATAGATAGATAGATGAGAGATAGATAGATAGATAGATAGATAGATAGATAGATAGATAGATAGATAGATAGATAGATAGATAGATAGATAGATAGATAGATAGATAGATAGATAGATAGATAGATAGATAGATAGATAGATAGATAGATAGATAGATAGATAGATAGATAGATAGATAGATAGATAGATAGATAGATAGATAGATAGATAGATAGATAGATAGATAGATAGATAGATAGATAGATAGATAGATAGATAGATAGATAGATAGATAGATAGATAGATAGATAGATAGATAGATAGATAGATAGATAGATAGATAGATAGATAGATAGATAGATAGATAGATAGATAGATAGATAGATAGATAGATAGATAGATAGATAGATAGATAGATAGATAGATAGATAGATAGATAGATAGATAGATAGATAGATAGATAGATAGATAGATAGATAGATAGATAGATAGATAGATAGATAGATAGATAGATAGATAGATAGATAGATAGATAGATAGATAGATAGATAGATAGATAGATAGATAGATAGATAGATAGATAGATAGATAGATAGATAGATAGATAGATAGATAGATAGATAGATAGATAGATAGATAGATAGATAGATAGATAGATAGATAGATAGATAGATAGATAGATAGATAGATAGATAGATAGATAGATAGATAGATAGATAGATAGATAGATAGATAGATAGATAGATAGAGATAGATAGATAGATAGATAGATAGATAGATAGATAGATAGATAGATAGATAGATAGATAGATAGATAGATAGATAGATAGATAGATAGATAGATAGATAGATAGATAGATAGATAGATAGATAGATAGATAGATAGATAGATAGATAGATAGATAGATAGATAGATAGATAGATAGATAGATAGATAGATAGATAGATAGATAGATAGATAGATAGATAGATAGATAGATAGATAGATAGATAGATAGATAGATAGATAGATAGATAGATAGATAGATAGATAGATAGATAGATAGATAGATAGATAGATAGATAGATAGATAGATAGATAGATAGATAGATAGATAGATAGATAGATAGATAGATAGATAGATAGATAGATAGATAGATAGATAGATAGATAGTAGATAGATAGATAGATAGATAGATAGATAGATAGATAGATAGATAGATAGATAGATAGATAGATAGATAGATAGATAGATAGATAGATAGATAGATAGATAGATAAATAAATAAGTAAGCTGAGATGTCAATGATTTTGTTATGGAATACAATTTATACGAACATTCATAAATTAAGTTTATCAAACGGTGTTTTATAATTTAGTTTTAAGAAAAAAAACATGTGCATACGAGTATTCTAAAAATACATACAAATACATTCTGGTATTATTCCGCCCCACGTGAAGTTATCTTGGCAATAGCGCACCTCGTCACCGTTTGTCAGGTTGTACAATGTGTTACAGCTATAGGTGGCTGGGCTGTCGTAATCTGTGGTGGTGAAACTCACTAAACCGTTGATGATGCCTTCTGGTTCCCCGCAGTCAACTCCTGTTTGTAGTTGAAATATGAACAAACCAATAAATCTTTCATTTTTAAGTATCCATGATACATAGATACAACTTTGGTTTTCATTATATTGATCAACCATACTCTATGAAATTTATTTCTTTGCAGATTTGCTAGTCTGTCAAACCTCCGAATAAAGGCCGCCCTGTAAATAATGACCGCTCTTTGACAAACCTTTATTGATAAGAATACAACAGAGGGAACTCCGAATAAGCACCACTTGTCTGTAAAGGTCATATATGACCTCTCCTTTTGAAGGCCTATATTTACAGGTTTTGTGATAGTTATGCAGTTAACATATATGGCTTTAATTAAATGAAGAAAAACAATCTTTAGTCTTGGGACTAGTTTGTACTAATGTAAAGTTGTTGGCATGATTTAGAAACCTAAGGTACGCTTACTCAGTGTACAGCACGAGCCGTAGTAGCCTAATGCGCATGTGCAGGGGAATGTGAGATTTCCAGTCGGAGACCCGTTGTTTTCACACACGGTGTTACAACTTCCCCATTCAAAACGTTCATCCGGTGTGGCACAGTCTGTGAAACTGTTACATCCATCTTTTTCATCATCATATGTTGCACCTCGTTCCCTTACTCTGAAGTGTCATAATTTATCAGAATATCATGATATATAGTACGCAACCAATGAGGTGTTGAGTTCATGAACCAACATTTGCATTGAATTTCAAATGTGTAACATATTAACAGTCCAATTATAGAAACTTTATGCATTTTTAGGAGACAGCATTGTTAAATTATAAAAAAGTGATAAACATATTTACTGGTTTAACATTTCTATATCATAAATAATTTATACTGGATTAACATTGATAGATTAAATAATGTAAATCCAGAAATGTTTTTTTCACTATTTATACAGTGGTAACATTTAGCAAAACTATAAATAATGATAAAAATTTATATTGGGTTACCTTTGCTTAACTATATTTAACATTGCCTACATGTATCTGCGTGTATTAGTGATCTACTCGTATTTGGCAAATACTTGTGATTTTATACAGCTTAATTATTCTTCTTATAATCTTACGGACTCAAGATTTGTGCAGTTACCTTTGTCCGAAACATTCCTCAGTACAGTCTCCCCATGTCTGCCACTCTGTAAATGTGCAATTACAGTACTCCCAGGTGGAAGCTTGAGCGGCGTCAGTTACACCATAAAACAGAACCAGTACTACCGGTGTCAGGTATACCACAGTGTATAACATACTGTAATACATAATGTACTGTGCATCATCATCATCATCATCATCATCATCAACAACAATAACAGTTAACAGCACCACCACCACCACTACCAACAACAACAACAATAATAATAACAACAACAACAACAATCAGAACAACACAAACAACAATATCGATGAAATAACAATAATAGTAAGAATAATAATAAGTAATAATAATAATTATAATAATAAAAGAAGAATAAGAATAATAATGATGATGATAATAATAATAATAAAAAAAAATAATAATCATAATAATAATCATAACACCACCACCACTGCAGTCATCATCATCATCCACAACAACAACAAAAATAATAATAAGCAGCGAAAGAAAGAACAAGAAAAAAGAAAGACGATTACACTAGTGGTAATGTCTAATTATGATGATGATGATGATGATAATGATGATGATGACGACAACAATGCCTAAGACAAAATATAATAAGAAAACTCACATTTTTACCAATACTGAAGAAGAAAAAAAACGCACTTACTTTATAGCCAGACGAACAAGTTTATTATGATTTAAATGTTAATCGACAATCTAACGAATGATCTCAGTTCTTACACTATTTACCTAACTAAAGTTGTCACATCGCGATACTATCTCTAATGTTTCAACAACTGTATTGTGTGTATCTATACAATGGTATATTGGCACTATTCCCTATTAATTAATGTACCTTTTATTTCATGAAATAAATTTATGTTGAACGTTGATAACAATAATAATATTTAACAAATGATTTGCGTCTTTTTTATTGTATAGGTGCGACAATATAAGTTTATTTTATTATTGTTTAAATCGTGAGTTTACGAAATGAAATAAATTGAAATGGTAACATTACGTTGTATGAAATAGATGATGATTCGGATAGTTTTGACGTTTTAGAAGGTAGAGCTTTAATTTAATCTTTATTTTATTGTTGTTTTAGAAATTATAAAAATATAAAAAAATTGTTCTTGTAGTTTTTTTTTATTTTTGTAGGTTGTGTCATGTTTAAAATGATGTCAGTCTATATAAATAGAATAAATAATTTTTATACATGTACAAATTTATATATTTGATTGATCGTTTCATTTTTGTAAAAGTGTTTACTATATAATTAACTGAAATAAACATATGACTTACGATAGAAAATTGTAGATTTGTTCAAGCTTGTTAACTAACAATAATCACAAACAAAAGTTGATACCAAAGAAATAGTCCTTAAACGCGATGCAATCTTTTCTGTATTTTACTTTTCGTTTAAAGTTGATCATAACTCATGCAAATTAATGACAAAAATATCAAATATAATCTTATGTACTCAAACCACGCCAGCATGAATTTCTGTATAAATTCTATATATTTTGGGTTTAAAGTTTAAATATATCCATATATGTTGAACGAAATAGACGCCGACAGAATCACCGAGTAGTTTTAAAACTAGTCATATGACTTGAACAAACCCTGAAAGTTACAATAACAGATACATGTATTGTGGATGTTGTTTGATTGAAACAAGTCTAAGTTATTCATTTGACATGTTCTTAAACGTTTCCAGAGTTCACCGTGACAACTATTGTGAAATCTTAATGCTCTAACTACATCGCGTGGGTCAAGTTAGGAAACAACCATTTTATTCTTTTTAAGGAGAAAAGTTTTGTTCCTGTGACTGCCTAGTGTATTCATTTTTAGGTTATTAACAGAATAATGAATGAAAATTTCAAAACAAACAAATGAACATTTTGCCTGTGTCTTCCTTTAAAAAATTAATGTAGCTTTGTTCGATACATATATTTGGTATATTTTGGAAAATAAAATAGTCATAACAATATGTGATATGTTATTGATTTTTTTTTGACATTTGTTTCATAATAAGTAAAAAATTAAATATCTATTAACTTTCTTTTTTGTTTGTTTCCAGATTTCAAAAAATGTCTACAAGAATTATAGTTTCGTTTCTGATTTTGGCTGTATGTTTACACGTGACACGTTCCTGCAATCGAGTCATCCTAGCTGGTGATGGTAGGTCGACGCCCACACGTGACATGACTCCCCCTACAATCACGTGTCCATCTAGTATTCACAGGATAGCTGATCCGACCGCTAAAAATATTTCTATATCGTGGGAGGAAAGTTCTGTTGTTGTCAATGACAACAGTGACGACACAATTACGTATGTTTATAAGAATTTTAAATTTTCAAAATATTCTTCTCTTACAATTATATAACCACGCCATCATATTTAATTCATAATTTAATATTAGACGACAGTGACATCGTAATTACGTAAGATTATAAATACATTGTATTTTACATTGAAAGCTTTTTTCCGTACAATTATATTACCACGCCTCCAAATGCATACGCCATGTTAATTCAACTATTTGATAAATGTGAGTTTGTTTTAATGTATAAGCCACGAATCTTTTAATTTTTAAGTATAACACATTTGTTGTATAAAAACTTCAAGAATTTTCAATGAAAACATTCTGACTTCAGTTATATAACAAAAAAAACATGAATTTTAAGTTAAGAAATATCGCTGAAGTGAAATCATGTCTGTTATCAGTATCCATAAATGACTAACTGGTTGGACCGGCTACAGGAAGTGTTTAGACACTGGGGAGTGCTCCATTTTGTCAGAGTGAGTTATCTAGGAAAAGGAAGTGTTTTATTAAAAAAATCCCGTCACTGTTAAACTTTATAATCTTTTCATGTAGAAAGACGCAAACTGGACCACCGTCAGGTCACGTGTTCAGCGAAGGCGTGACTACAATATCGTATCATGCACGAGATAAAAGTGGCAACTTTGCTTCCTGTTCGTTTAACGTAACGGTTGAAGGTACAGTTCTTTAGTTTATCAAACAAATATTTGTATTTTCATTTCCAAAAAGATTCTCTGTACTAATTAATCAGCTTCATTTAAGCGCCAATATATAGTTTTCTGGGTTTCGTAAAATTAAGGTCGGTAGGTATGTAGGTATGTAGATACTGATAGTTAAAGAAAAGTAAGTTTTTGTTTTACAGAATGTAAAAAGGATAAATCATCGAAAAATAAATAAAAAAAATCCTTACTTTCATGTAGCAATAGTAATAACTGTACACCATTTTTCAGTTATCCGGTGTAGCACGTGGAGTGATCTGGTGGACGGTTCGATGTTATGTAACGTTGGTTACGATATGAGATATGGTACTGTGTGCGAGTTTGGCTGTTACACCGGTCACGAGCTGGTTGGACCGGCTATGAGGGAATGTTTAAACAATGGGGAGTGGGATAACTCCTCTCCGCCATTTTGTCAGAGTGAGTTATCCATGACATGTCTGTTGTGTGTTTTAATATATTAGCCTTTACGTACCGAATTACAACTAAGGCTTATTGAGCTTTCATTTACCATACTTTCAGTCTTTTTTTCCTTCTTTGTTTCTTTAAAAAAATTATTATCAAACTTTATAATATATAAGAAATGGAACATGCAAGAATAAAACTATTTTCTTTAGATATGTTATAGGAGAATAACGAATTGAAGTCGCTTCCATGCTTTAAATCTATTCTCGAGTATGTTTCGCTGGTTAGATGGGACAAAGTCCAACTTCTGTACTTTCAAAACATGCAATCTCGAACCGTACAGGGTAACGCCCACTGCAGTGACGTCTCATCACCACTATATTTTTATACAACGTTCCTACCTTTTTGTTATTGCTTTGCTCCTAGAAAATCCGGAAAAAAAACTAAGTGTCTCGTTATTTATTCGATGCATACATTTTGATGTCTTAAAAAGCTCACGTTTTATTTTCACCGACAGAAATACAGTGTCCGGTTTTGGAGCTGGCTAAAGACATCAACGGAATGGAGATAGTCAACATATCATGTACCAATGAGAATTACTTTGCTAGTAAATGCACATATACATGTATTGATGGATATGCCATACTTCCTGGACACAACCCTACAAAACTGTGTAACGAAAATGGTAGCTGGATAGGTGAAACGCCGGAATGTCTAGGTTTGTGTTATAAATTAACTTTTTTCTTTAACTGTTCAATAGATAAATAAGATGAAATGGTTCTAAATTTGCTAGTACATCATATTTTTTGAAACATTCGTAAATATTTTATGTTTCTTTAAGTTGTTTCTGTGAATAGCTATACCTGTAGAGAATGCGACTATAGAATTTTTGATGAACTTGTATTGTTTTATCTAAACGAAAACTTAAATTAAAAGAAAAATCTTAGTTATTTGTCAATAATAATCATTTCGATAAAACGAATTAATCAACAGGGTGATTATTTATCTGAAACGAAATGTAATACTAGTACTGTGTGAACGCAAGTTTTATTACGTTGAAATGACATGTCATTTGGTCAGTTGGTTTAAAGTTATTTCGTTAAAAAGCTTAAACTCACCAGTCCATTAAAATATAGGTATAAGATAAGAAGTTGTGTCTCCACTTAGGTTTTTTTTATTTCAATTTGATGAGGATGTAAAATACATAGTGAAAGATTACATTGGCAAACATTTTACGTTATTCATGATATTATTTGTTCATAGATACGTCAGCCCCTGTCTATACAGACTGTCCATTTGCAGTAGCAGGATATGCTTATCAGCTTCAATATTCTGGTCACGTGCACTGGGACGATCCCACTGGTATACATATGACATCTTTGATTTTCTTTTATTTCTATTTTTTAATTTAAAGTTATGCATCTCTTACAAATTAAAGTAAATTTGTATTTTGCTTGTACTTATTGTGATTTAAGTTATCAGTATGTATTTCTAACGTCACTTGTTGCGATGCACTTTGGTTTTATATTGGACAATTTTGTAACAGTGAAATATTATATCTAATTTGTGAAATATAAGTTATATCACACACTAAAGATCTTACTTAAATACATTTGTTCGTTTTTATTCCTAAAAGCGTTATTTTACATTTTTGTGAATTTGATTAAGTTATTACTATTGAGTTAGAGAAATTACACATTCATTCTCCTCTTCTATTTAATTCTTTAACATGTTTAAATTTTAACAACAAAAATTTTTTTCAAATTTAACTTTAACTCTTTATCTTTCAAACAGCGACCGACAACAGTGGACATTCAGTTCCCGTGTTTCAAACATCCGGACCAGTTTCCGGTTCACTGTTACAGATAGGCCAATACAACGTGCAATATAGTTCCTCCGATACCATGAATAACTCTCTGGTCTGCTCGTTTCCGGTTGTTGTAAAACGTGAGTTACTTCCCCTGATAGTTCTAAATGACACCCACGATTTGTAAGAGACTGGAAAAGCACTGAATGGAATGAACGGTATCTGCTCTTTAGATATCACAAGGAATTTTAGTCATGAATAAGCTCAGATGTTGCATTCAGTCATGTGAAATTACGATTCTATTAAGCCAACCGATCTCATATATGGCAAATGGCTCATAACCCTACCTGGGTTTGAACCTTTTCTCCCTCGACATCGTATATTTGCTACTCTTAACTTACACACACAATAAATTCATAGATACTTGATATAACTGACTTTGTTCTTTAACCTAAAAGGTTTGAAGTAATTTCGTTTATCTTGTAAAGAGGTCTTAACTTTGATTTTATAAAGTAAATTTATACCAAACATATATGTTTTAATGTACCAAAATGTCTTTATGTCTTAGCAAGTTTATACAATACTGGTGTGTTACCAAAGTGCTCTAATTATTACTAAGATAAAGATGTTCTGCATAGTTAGCTGCGGTGGTCGCATTTCCAGTAATGCAAGACGATTTCTGCCACTTCCTCCAAAAAAAAAGAGAAATCATCCCTTTTATGCAGTTCACAGTCAATTCTTGCACTGGTCAGAAAAGACCACATTTTGGGCTTGTCTAACATAGTAAATGCTTTAAAGTTGTAGTTTGCTTATTTAATGTTGTTTTCAAAAATAGAGAGGCATATTGATAGCTTAAGATTATGAACACGATTCTCTAAAGCATCTACAGACACATGATAATATTTTGCAGGAACGTTACAAAAGAATAAAAATGTAGTTATAGAAGGTACGAATAAAACTGACTGTTGAAGAATTATATTTAAAGTTTTTTTTTCCAGAGAGTTCGTGTCCAGAATTAGAGGAAACACCGTACATGACTGTGGTATGTCAAGACGGTACTATTCTAGGTGCACAGTGTGATATATCATGTCAACTAGGTACGGTTCTCATTGGTAACCCTACAGCTGTTTGTATACAAGAGGATATCACAATACCAGTAGGAAAATGGAACTTCCAGGAACAGCCGTACTGTGAAGGTTGGTTACTCCATGCTATGCCTAATGAGTTTTCTTAAATAGTAAACAAGGTATTACCAGATTCAAGATGTAGATATAATTGTCTGAGTGTCTAATACTGCCTCAGTTTTCTATGTTTTAACGTACATTTGTTCAGTGAATTCACGTTTCTTATCCCCTACAAACTATGTTGCTTACTCTTCGATACTATCCCTCAACGAAAGAACCAGTCTAGGCTCTTGAAGCTTGTTTTTCAATTCTAAATCTTGTAAAACATAACAAAACATTCTACTATTTTTCTTTAAATTTCACACAGCACTAGATACATGTCCGACATTGAGCGTTCCGATGAATGGTGCGCTACAGTGTGACACCTGGGAACTAGGCAACGTTTGTCACATGACCTGTGATACCGGATATGTCGTCATCAACGACACGGGTACTGATTATGACGAAGTAGATGTGTATGATACCCTTATCGTATGTGGAGAGGCCGGTTACTGGACAAACAACGGCGAACTTCCGGGATGTCAAGGTCAAAAGAAATTTACATCGAAAGTTTTCTTTAAAAATAATATTATTTAGCAAAATAGTTGATGTTCTCCGCCTCCATAGTTTGATATGCACTGATGAAGTTAAAAAATATTCAGTCGTCAGTACTTAACATCTCGTCTAGTATTTTACTAACGATATTTTCAATGAGTGAGGGTGTCACAATCTAACAGATGTAATTAAATTCTCAGAGATTTCAATAACATTTTTCTTTCATTTCGTGTTAACGAATGTACCACTGCACGACTGTCAAACTTTAAATGTAATAGTTGTCTCGTATATAATATAAGCTTAATTTGTATTAAACAGAAACGAATAGATTGTTCCCTTTTTTAGCATAATACTTTAAGCTTATGTTAGATGCTTATAACCTGAAGAAAGTAACGTTGAATGTAAGATTATTTATCGTAAAAGTAGCATAATGTAAACAAAGTAGTATTTTGACTTCCATACAAAATACCAAATCACTATCACTGAACCTACTTCATTAGAGCAACAGATGTAAACTTTAGGTGATTGGCCGATGAGTAATCTTTTGGGAACTATTTTGCAGGACATAAAAACAATTTTTTTTTCATGAATAAAAATTAAAGCATTTTTGGACCATAATGGGCCTTTAATGAAATTAGAAACATATTTACTACATAGCACATTGTCACTTTATTAACGAATTTTAGAAATAAAATAATTATTTGCTTACATTTACAGAGGAAGATGCTCGAAAAATGCTTGACCTCACTATGCGTGTAGACTATGGTAACATTGATAATTGTTCAGACATTATTAACGAGACATTGCTCGAGGATCTCGTGTATTCTTTAAAACTAGCGTTGCGACCTGATTGTATGTCACCGAGCTGTAATGTTACAAATGCACAGGTAAACGCCTCTATAATACTAAAAATGCTCACTAATTATACTTATATACGACCAGGTGAGACCAAATTCATTTTCTCATCATTGTCTGATCTAGTCGCTTTACTTTAGTGGCTGATTTGGAACACTTTTATGCGTCGTGTTGTCGCTAGCAACAACACGACAAATCGCCAAACGACGCGTTGTCGGACTTTCATCTAGTCGTCCTTACGCTAACGATGTACGCCAAACGGCGCGTTGTCGTGCGGTGTCTTGGCGCAATGTCACATTGTCGCTCGGCTCATATCGAAGGATTTGTTATTATTTGTATATATATATAGGCCAAGCGACGGGGCGACATCGCGTCGCACGACAACGTGCCGATTGGCGTGCTTCGCTAGCGACAAGACGACAGTGCGGAAATGCGCGTCAAGACGAAAAGGCGATGACGATAAAGGTTGTGATCGTGTACCAAATCAGCCACCAAACTTTACTTCTGCGCGACTTTTGTACATTGTGTATTTAGTTTCAATAATGAGAGACATTAGATCTGCCGATGAAGTTTAAGACGTAGGTTTTAAACTGTACGCTATATTTCAGAATGTATTCTACGATCTTTGTTTTTGTTAAATCACAAGAATATTTTTGTTGAATGGCTGTTTTTATTCAATACTGTAACTTATGAAATTTAGCTTTACTAGAATTAATATTGTAATGAATGAAGTGAATTTCTACATAAGTTTCTTTTGTAAACTTTTTCTAACTGAATGGACAACAATAAAGAATATAGAAACAATTAAAGCTTTCCTTATTTAACTGTTTAATGCATAGGTGTTGTGTATGGACACCACTAACCACACCGCAGTTGAGTTTGACATAAACCTTACACCAAATATGGACTATTCAAATATTGCCACCCTCAGAAGTGATATAATCAACAAAAGTTTAGATGATCAAATACAAATGGACCTGACTATTGATGATGGTGCTGGTATAACACCGGAGGGTATAGAGGTGTCTTATCCTAATGTGATCTGTGAACCTGGTAGTGGGGTTGATACAAAAACATCGAGATGTGGTGAGTTACACGTTGTTTGATACCATTACTTTCTTATAAGCGTCCCATTGTTTTATTTTGTTATAATAATGATGGTATGTATTATTTAAACAGTTGAATCTAAAGCTTGATTTTCTGGCATCAAGAAGTGGTGCCAGTTTGATGGACTTCACCAGAGATACTCTACTCCTGTTAATTTGTTCAAGCATTCTTCCTGGAATACTGTATAATCATCCTTAGGTTTTTGTTGCCTGATTTTTTTTCTTTTAACAGCTATTTGTAATATGCTGGCTTCAAACCTTTGATCCCCCCTCTAAGTATCATTGTATCTAGTTGACCACAATTCTTTTTTTTTGTAAAGAGCACAATAATTTACTTTAGTCGGTGCAGGGGGGCATCAACAGTTGTTTGCATTAACCACTACCTTCAATCATACCGAACCTGCAAAGTTTTCAATTTTTCAATGTTTGGCGATGATTATGTTTTTCATGATATCTGTTCCTTTTTAGGTTTGAAAAACAAACAAACAACTTAGAATTCATATCACTTAAGGTCGCCATAAAATAAAATAACGGTAACCAAATGGGAAACGGTATTTATAAGGCTTTACATGATAATCTTAATTTGTCTAATTACTAAACAACTGTAAGAAATTAAGATGTTATTAATAATTACGTTTCCTGAGAAAGGTGGAGGGGGGGGGGGTGGCAGAAGAAACACAAAGAAAAAGCGTCACGTATCTATCTCCTTGTGTTCTTTAATTCTTTGTCAGTAACAATGTAAAGGCTTAATTATTATTATTTCATTTTCAGTTAAATGTAATGCTGGCTATTTCTATGACAACGTGACAATGTTATGTTTAAGCTGCCCCGTCGGTTACTACCAGCACACGCCCAGGCAGTCTGAATGTATACAATGTCCCGAGGGTAAAACAACGGTAACAAGGGCGACAACTTTAGCCTCACAATGCCTTGGTACATCTTTGATAAATCATTTTTGTATACGTGTATTTGTAAATATTGAAACTTCAATAAGACAATGTAACTCTTTTGATTATATTGAATATTGGCTGAATAACAACTATAATGCATACTAGTGTTGAATAGATAGCATACACTTCCAACTTTGCAAATTATCGCATGACACAGTGTCTAGTCGTTATAATGATTTTTCGGACCAGTAGCTATATCATGTTATTTTTTTAAAATAGGGGGATTCTTTTGTAAATAACAATCATTATACACATCCGATCTTTTAAAAGACACGAATGGTTAGAATATATATATTAATTGGACTCGGATGCAAGTTTGTACATGTGCTTTAATATCTTTGAACAACAACAACAAAAAAGATTGTTAATGGGTAAACTCAGAAAAGTGCAAGAGTACTAAAAGTAATAAATGAAAGAAGAAAGTTTTTATTATTTTTAGGGGATGTTAGTAGTTTTTGTTTTAGTGTGAAGATTTTAGAACAGGTATAATATTATATACATGTATGTATTCAGATGGTTGTGAACCAGGCTATTACTCACGGACTGGTACCTCGCCATGTTCTACCTGTGTCACGGGGTCCTTTAGTAACACTACTAGTAGTACTGAATGTACAAACTGCCCCGGGTCACAGACAACATTTACACCAGCTTCAACTTCCGTTACCGAGTGTCAAGGTAGGTATATACAAGATAAAGTCAGGACTCTAAATTTGATCATGTCCTTTTTACTTACGAATTACCCACTAAATATGTTGCAAATAATGATTCAGATAACAAACATATACAAAAAACTTTACTTTTAACTCAAGTATCTAAAATATTTTGTAAGTTATTTGCTTATGTTTTCAGTTTATTTGTTGGTTTTATCAAATTTTAGTCATATCTAGACAGTCAGTTCATTTACCTAACCGGCTGTCCTGAATAACTAGCCAGTAATTACCTTTTTTTTTTAGAAAACCTAGTTAGGGATAAATGATTTCTTTCCAATCTTTGGCGGACGTTCAACATGATAAAAGCTTCAAAGAGACTGTAGGACGATTTCTTAAAAAAGATCATTAGTATCACATATTGACTACATCTATTTGTAAAGGCTGTTATTTTCCTCTCTGGTAACTTTACTTTTGTTTAATTTTATGGTATTTTTTATCTATCTTACTAGTATTCCATTTCTTTCATTATACATGTAATATATTATGGTTGTTATAATTGCCCTATATGTAATATCGCCGTTCAAAGTAATTTTATTGTTATTTCAGATTTTGACATCATTTTTACGTCAACATCGGTTGTAAGTTTAACGTCAGCGGTCGTTAGCGTTGAGTTACAGGACGTATCCACGTTTACATTATCCGGTTGGCTTCAGTGTTCTACATGTGATGCAGTTGTCACTTTGTCGAATGAGAATGGTGAATCGCTTATGTCATTAAAGAACAACAATTCACTTGTTGTGGAGCTAAGCAGGTTTGTGGATTATGTTGTTTTAAATCGTCCAATTACATCTGGAAATAATGAGCAATAAAAACAACAACAACAACAACAACAACAGCAGCAGCAGCAGCAGCAGCAGCAACAACAACAACAACAACAGCAACAACAACATCATCATCATCATCATCATCAAAACAACAGCAAAACCAACAACAACAACAGCAACACCAACAACAACATCATCATCATCATCATCATCATCAAAACAACAGCAAAACCAACAACAGCGACAAAACAAAACTTTCGTTTATTAGTATTTTGTTCATGGTATCAATATATTGACTTATATTCGTAACTTTATTTCCAGTATGTTTAGTAATACAGTGAAACCTCTTTGAGAGGCAAATAATTTAGTGATTATTGAGAGGTGTGGTTCTTAGGAGGTTAAATTCAGTTTTAATTATTAGTTTTGGAATATTTGATTATGTTGTTGCAAAGAGGCAATTGTTCTACAGAGGGGCCACTTTGCAAAGGTTACACTGTAAATGTAAAATAAAAATAAAAGCAATTAAGGCTATAAGATATAATTTTCTGTTTAATGACTGATTGAAATTTTAAATAATATTAATAACTCAATTATAATGTACCTTTGTGTCAATCAGTGGGCAATACGACAGTGGTATAGACCTCTCGGATAATCTCGCATGGAAGAGAATAACGGTGACACACACGGTGGGTGACCTACGTTTGTATCTAGGCAATAGTGAGGTATTACACGTTCCTCTGGACCGACCAATCACGGACAATGTTACTGGACCTGCTAGTCTTGAAGTTGGTGGTGAGTTAAGTCTGGTCTGATAATATTATTTTTTTTTTAAATAATAAAGAAGTGATTATTAAGTAATTAGGCAAATCTCTTCTTTCCTCATCCTTTTTCTCGTTGATTCATTTTTTGTATTTGTGTCATTCATTAATTTCAAAAATAGAAAAAAGAAACAACAATTAAATAACCGGAATCCCTAAAGAAAGCCTAAAATGGCAAAATTGAAATATGAAAATGCCTTAATCTCAAATGATCTCTGTTAAAAATGATAAAGTATATTTTATAAACATTTAAGAGTTGTTAAATTGGAAGTTGGGAGGTATTCTATATACAGCGTCACATTTCATTTTATCACGTATTTAAGAATTAATGTTACTAACAAATTTAATGACCCCATCAACCAGCTACATGTCTGTCAATTCGTAAGTCCTTGCTGGGACAGAAGATAACTTCTGTCCCAGGTCCTTGTAAGATTTTTCACTAAATTCATCGCATAGTTCAATAAATTAGATAAGGGAGACTGAAATGAATCACAATTGTCTTTAAAGAAGAAAAGAAAAATCTAAAGATTCACAGAATCCGTTCAAGTCAACAGGGAAACAATCTGTGATCTAGTAATACCCTAACTCCATAAATTATAAATTAATTTCAATTTCCGATTTAGTTATGATTGATATTATAGAGGTATACTTTTAATTGTCAAATAGTGTCATAAAAGTACAGTTGTGTCGGATTTTGGCTTTTATGGCTATAGCAGAGTTTAATGGTAGAGGTTTACTTTGTGTTAGAGTTTATCACATCACAGTGTTAAGGTCGTTGACTTCAAACCACTTGCCCCTCACCGCTGTGGGTTCGAATCCCGACAGGGACTTTGGATTCTTTCATGTGAGGAAGCTATCCAGCTAGCTTTCGGAACGTCGGTGGTTCTACTCAGGTGCCCGTTCGTGCCTGAAATAATGCACGGAAGGGCACCTGAGGTCTTCCTCCACCAGTAAAGCTGGAACGTCGCGATATGACCTATACTGTGTCGATGTGACGTAAAACCCAAAACAAAAAAAAAACAAAAAAAAAACAACATCACAGTGTATTGTCCCTGTGTTCAGGTCTTGCAGTAAACACTTTAAACCGATGTAACATAATACAGACTCAAACGTTGATTTTATTTTATTAAATGCATGCATTTTTGCGATAGGTATGGGATTCGATGGAGGTGTGTCGCAGTTACACATGTGGTCTAGCATACGACATCCCAGCAGTGATAACACAGGGACATGTGTACCGGAAATGAATGGTGATCTGGTCACGTGGAGGCAGTTTGCGCAACATGATGGGTCATTCGTGGTCACCTACACAAACTGTGATGGTATTGAACAATTATAGATGTCACGCAAACTTTTTAAAGTTTCTTTTAATGTTTGTAATATAGTTTAATTCGGTGTCTGGAATGTGACACGATGTCACTATTAGTATATCAAAAATGTCTGTTTTCGTAGGAGAGATGGAAAGATATTTCCCTCGTTTATGTAAAAAATTCTGCAAAAATCTGTATCTTTAAAACCAATCTTACAATATGCTTGGAATAATTTAAATGAAAGTGTAAAAAACGCATCAAGCTTTACAGCTAAATGGCTTCATAAAGCAAATGAACTTTAGCGTCAGAAACCTTAAGGTTCAAACATGACAGCTATTTCCATTTTATTTGAAGAAGTCGCACAATTTTGACTACTTGTTATATTGTAGCAAATGATAACTGCTCTTCATCGCCGTGTCAAAATGGCGGACAATGTACAAACACACTGACAGGCTTCTTCTGCACATGCGCGACCGGATATAAGGGGACCGTTTGCGAAACAGAGATAAGTGACTGTGAAGGTCATATTTGTCAGAATAATGGCACTTGTGTAGACGGTGTTGACATATATACATGCTTGTGTACTGAAAGTTACACTGGGGAACTGTGTGAACTATTGATTGGTAAGTTTTCTTTTTACAAAAGGACCAGATTAATAATATATAAAAACATCAAGTGGGTTCTTTAGTTGGAAAGACCTTAGGAAATAAACTGTCAAATAACAGCAAATTAAGACTATTAGTTATTGTTTCCATGTATTTGAAACAGGTAATTCAAGTGTAGCTGTGAAAGTAAGTTCGTAAGTTCATCACCATTAAGGTAATGTCTCTAAACCCTAAGAGTTCTAGTGGCACTATGCGCCCAATCGCAGACCAAAATCAGCCAGCACTTCCAAATTACCGAAGCTGATCGTGATTTAGTCCGTTTATACATGTGTTTTGTAACTTTTCCCAAACGTGATGACTAGTTTTGTCTAGATTGTAAGATGGACAAGTCTTCAATCTGATTAAAATCAACACCTAAATACATGTAAGAAATAAGTAGATCTGGACTTGAGTCAGATTTAACACTTCTTTTTAAGATATTTAGCGTGGTATGGGTTAGAAAATGCTATCAGTTTTTTTTAGGTAGAGATGAAAAACAAAATATCCCATACAACTTGAAAATTTGTTTAACGTTTGACAATAAAAGAGCAATGACTGGCATATTAATAGTAGATCTGATTATTTAAATTTTATCTGACAGTTGATGGTGGTTGGACGGGTTGGGATATTGCCGGAGCATGCTCGGTTACATGTGGTATCGGTGTTCAGCAAAGGTCACGTGTGTGTAACAACCCGGTGCCTAGCAACGGTGGAATGAATTGTACTGGAGACAGTGACGATTTGGTAACTTGTGATACAGACACAGTTTGTGTTAATGGTAATGATGCTAAAGTCATTGATATAGAAATAGTCTGGTTCTCTGTCAGAAAATAAAACATCTGTTGAAATATATAGAAAAAAGACAACGTTTAGTTATCGTATTGGGTTTCAAACGAAGTTAAACATTACGACTATGTTACAAGTTTTTCTCCCATGAATAGATCTGGCTTTTTCACTAGTCCATATGACATAAATCACATAATATTTGTTACGCAAATAGTTGCAATAGGTCTTATGGGGAACGGGTAGGTTATAGTGGAAATCACGATTTTTATGCTCCTCGAAGAACTAGCATATAATCGCCGCTTTATTCGTCCGCCTGTCTGTCTGTCCGTCCGTCTGTCCGTCCGCATTTTCTTGTCCGGTTCATAACTCTTTTACTGCTTTTACTGTCAACAAGAAATTGGTAGATATATCTCATTAAGTAGAAGTGCATTGCATAAAAATTGTAACGTTTCCTTACTTAATTTTGAATTTATTTTCCTTTTTTTTTTTTTACATTTGAAATGGGGGTTACATAATAGCCTAAAATTTTAAAAGGCTATCAAGAGAAACTTTTTCCTGTGCCCAAAAATATTGATGGGCCCACTTTGAAAAAAAACATAGTTTTGTATTTGCTTTTGAATATTTGATTTTGCTATTAAAGACTTTTCAATACATTTCCCGTACCTATAGTTTCCTAAAACAATTCCTTTTGGTATGAAACCGGAAAGATATAAGAATTTTGATAACATAAGTAATTTTTATTTACAAACAAAGATTGTGCTGTGAACCCGACAAGAGTTGATTATGGCAACATGGACTGTGTCTGGGCAGACGATAGAAATACAACACGTGAATGTACGCCAGTGTGTCACGAGGGTTATGCATTTGATAACAATATTTACCTTCAGCTATTCTGTGGCCCTGACACCGGATATACGTGGAATATCAAAACCAGTGACAATCCTTTCACACAAATACCATCATGTACCAGTAAGTGCTGAAAATATACTGTCATTTAGATCATGTAAGGATAGGTTACATGTAGATTACGCTAAAAGACATATTAGTAGTTGTTATAAATAAAATGCGGTGGACGCTCCTGTAGTCCTGAAGAAAAAAATACATGCATGTTTGTTTAAAAATGCATGTTTTGGTAGCGGGTTCAACGATATCATCAGCAGAAAATAATCAAATGGTAATGATGTTGAACAAAAAACTACTATTTGTTATTAATAAAACGCGGTAGACGCTCCTTGAGCAGTGATGCCAAAATGAATATATCTATTAAAAAAGCAACATTTTTTTTTGGTAAAGGATTCAACGATATCATCAGCAGAAAAGATCTCTTTATTTAAATACTTAGAACAGTATACATAACGTCACGTAACTTTAATTAACAACAATGTATTCATGTGCCCGCGGTTACGTCGTCACTGATAGTTCTGATTGTATAGATGAGTATTTGTCGCAAGAGAGTTGTATTAATCTTATAACTCGTTCACATATGGCAATTTGCTTTACTGACAATTATTTTTTACATTTGTTTAAACAAATGGTTTCTTAATTACAAAAGTAACTATTTTACACAATATATTTAACATTAAAGAGAAACACATGGCGTTGAGAAACGATCTTCAATACTCGGCAAAATATACAGAATTAGACTCATTAGAAGATTCCACGAGGACTAACATCATAAATGTCGTAGATGGTAAAGTACTAGAGACAGGTTGTGTTCAGTCAGGCAGGTGTACACATTCAGGCACAGTAGTCTCCCTTGTTGATACTTCATTTCGTAGGAAACGTGATGACAGTGATGACGTAATGTTTACCGTAACGCTCACGTGCCAACCAACATCAAGTAGGTCATAATAATTAATATACGTGATAGTTCAATATTGCTTTAATAGATTTTGTAAATCACTGGGGAGCAACTGTTAAACGAGGGATGGAGTTCTTATGATAACTTGTCAGGAGTTCTTGTGATAACTGTCACGGCGTTCGTCGAAAAACTTTATAAGATCTATATCGATCTACTATAAGACTAATACTTTGTTGAAAGCCGCTTGAGATAAAAGTTGTACAATCTTATAAATCACAAGAGTTAAATATTTATGATTAATTCATTTGCACAGATTAATGAAATACATGTATGACCAATTAATATGTTTATTTGGTACCGTTGTAACAGGTTTTATCTAAAAGTATACTGTCATGAATGGATTTCTATTAGATACAAAGAGACCTTATGATACTAAGACAACATTTTTGTTTATCTCTTGGACAGTCTGCCTGTAACATTGCTCCTACGACCGGATTACTGCAAAAATTATTGACTGAGAAAATGGCTATTTATAAGTGAGAAAACTTGGTTCTGAACAATGTGTTTACATACAATTTGTGTGAGGCATACAGGACATCTTTTGTTTCGTCTTTTTTATTTCGTTTTTTTTATAACTTGTCCCAATCCCTTAACCTATTTTGATAAGTCATGTCGTGCATTAAGTGTAATGTCTGTATGTTTGTATGTCTGTATGTTTGGCTTGTTCAGGTATAGATGAATGCAACAACTTGCTTGAAGACTTTGTTATAAGTATGGAACAGTATATAGACAATATGGAGTTCACTGTGCAGTACGACGGTGAAGACTATAATGTAGAAGTTAACAGTTCAACTATAGATGGGACGTCACACTGTTCGGACAGATATGTTCCAGTCATGCATTATTGCAGTATGTATATTCAGTATTCTTTATCTTAATTCCTATATCACTTCCAAATGACATTCTGTCACGTGCAGGTGAAAAGTCAAATAACTTCACATTTTTTACCATAATTGTTTTTAATTTTATATTGTGCTATGCAAAAATAATCAGTAAGCCATTCGACCCACCGAAATTGTTTGTAAATACCGTTCAGAATCTACCATTTACGTTCAAGAGATAAAAATTGGATAGATACTTTTTAATACATCCTTAAAATTTGTCGCTATCAGTTAGTGGCCAGTCACCATTTTAATAGTCAATCTTTTGAAATATATTGGTAATTTAGCTGTATTTGCCATTTTTTATCATGATTTTTATGAACTTATGTTTTTTCATTTTAAGTTAGAATTAAATCATACCACGTTTTTATTGTTATTTTAAGTACCATGCGGTAAGGGGGCGTATGCCTCAGACAATTACTGTAAACTATGTGACAGAGGGTATTACCAAGACGAGATTGGCCACGCCTCCTGTAAGGAATGCCCGGATGGTTATACCACGAGGGGGTTGATGACACGTGACCGAGAGCTATGCAATGGTACAATGATCTTAAATTATGTTACATATTCTACTTAACGTATTTTAGTGTGCTTTTAAGTTGCATATATGTTTGAGCTTAAATGAAGATTTTAACCTCCGCTGGTGAAGGAAATCCACAGATTCTGGCATATCTACGTATCTCACTAAAACTGCCTCTCTATATTGTGATGGTATTAGAGTTATTTGAATTTCTATACTATTGCTTAATTGTGTATACAAAATTGTGTTGAGCATGTTATAAAAACATTATAAATATCATCATATCTTAAGCAAAATTATATGGCTGTACTACATACGATTTTATATGGTTCGGACAAACGTTAAACACATATTTTATGGTACTCTTCTCTAAAACTTGCCAGTAGGGTGTCTTGACGTCACTACCTACATCCTTCACATAAGCTTAATACTGAATCAAAATTCTCGAATCTGTATTTACGATTTTCATGTATATATATATATATCGTAAAACGTTTTCAATCTGTTGTCATAGATATTCTAAGATCATGCAATGTTTAAATGGGCTGTTATATACTACGTTTAAATAGACTGTATTATGTAGTTTGTATTCTGCCACACATGTAATGATATGTTTATATGTGACCCTAGCACAAGCCTTTCTTTAAATTAGACATTAAAATTAGACATTGTTTGACTTGAATCTATTTTATAGTTACGGTTCCTGAAGAGGTTGAGAACATAGATTGGCAGTTGTTTACCCTGGCAAGTCTTGGTGGAGTGATAGGTCTGATCCTCCTGGTAGCTGCAATGTACTTGCTCTGGGACAGGTACTGTTTCATAATTAACTGTTAAACTAAATATGAGCCGCGTCACGGCAAAACCAACATAGTACGTTTGCGACCAGCATGGATCCAGACCAGCCTTTGCATCCGCGCAGTCTGATCAGGATCCATGCTGTTCGCTTACCAACTCTATTACAAGAAGAGAAACTGATAGCGAACAGCATGGATCCTGATCAGACTGCGCGAATGCGCAGGCTGGTCTGGATCTATGCTTGTGGCAAACCCATTATGCTGGTTTTGCCATGACGCGGCTCATATGTCTTTCCATTGTCACCATGTTGCCGGCTAAAGAAGTATTTCATTCGACAATTCTTTTTTTTTGTTGTTGTTTGGTTTTACGGCGCACCATCACAATTAAGGCTATATGGCGCCAAAGGCAGGAAGATGGTTTTGGCTTACTCTGGGGGTTACAATGTTAAAGCAACAGCAGGAGTGAAAACCAGCTTACCTGCTGGAGCTAAAAGATGCATAGACTTCAGTAATTCAAACCCATTTAGTAGCATCTTACGATCACGCAGGGATAATCGGTGGCTGCAATTATGATGCCTCAATTGTTAAAGGCAACTCCTCAGCCACAAGGGGATTCAACATTTAAACAGAGAATAAGTTTATATTCAGATTTGAGTGATAATTATATATCTGTATCTGACAATATATTTGTAATTAAGTATAATAACACGTTCCTTTTTTAGAGATAAGTAAAATAATAATAATAAAAAAAAGTTGTGTTTTCTACTACACTATCTATTAGATCCATTATTTTAAATGTTGTTAATAGCCTTCGACATAATCGAACTAAAATAAATTCTGCATTGCCAGAATGTTGTTCAATAATCAAAGTTTTCATAATTAATTATGTTGTTAATCAATGAAGAATCACACACATAAAATTTACCCCACCCGTCTCCATTTATAAGCGGCCATCTTTATACAGCAGCCACATCGAAAAAAAGCAAAATCATGTATGTGAAGTCATCGTTACAAGGGTGACACTGTGTCTTTAACATATATAACAGGAAACTAACCATTTGTGAAGTTAATACTTTTAAATAATGTATTAATTCATTTTGTAAATTTAAAAATATCTTATTTTATACATATACTATTATGTATTTTCAGGAAGTTCAAAAGACCAAATAAAACAAAGGCCATCTATTGTGAAACGCCGGAACCAGTGACGCCCCCTCCAGTCAGATTTAACCTAAAGTATGCATCTTTAATCTTTTATTCCTTTACTTTGATTTTTTTCAGAAACTTTCCATGTATGCTTTTTTTAATTATTTGTTTTATTATAAGCATTTGATTTAACATAATACAGAAACTATTTTTTATGATTAAACAAAATATTTCTCACAAAGAAGGCAATCTTGCGGGCTCGAGATTGAAATGCGCACATATCAAGGCACGAGAAAAGGATGCATTAACTCTCTATCATGATAGTTTGATTTAAACATATTTTATTGCTCTTTTTTTTTTACACATTTATAACATTATATTATCATAGTATAAATACAAATTGTGTTTCATGATTATGTAAGTATGTAATATTATGTAAGTATGTAATATTATTTCTTTGTTGGCTAATATGACTGTATTATGCGAAAAAAATATACTTTACGCATAGACATACCTGCAGTTTGAATTATTATAAGACATTTGAAACACTTGGCTATGCTTTTTGTAGAAACACAAAGTATATGTTATATTTTTCAGAAATAAATGGTATACAGGAAAACCTATCAGGAAAGAGAAAGTATTGAGCCCAGAAATTAACGAACCGAGCTTGGAAGACGAGTAAGATATTTCTGTCCCAAATTTAATAATGAAATTGTTATCACTGAAATAACTTTGTTTTATCAAAGAGACCATAGACTTTCTTTATAATAGAACACAAAGCTCCATTTACAGTTTTTTTTGTAAAACGGTCATTTTTGCTTCCACGCAACCTCAAAACTTCCGAAAATTGTCGTATTTACATTTTTGTAAATGTTCTAGAAGCTTGCGTTGATCAGTTGAAACGTTTTCACGTTGTTGTTGTTGTTTTTTATTTCAGAGATGATTTAAGCTTTGAAGTTTTCAAATCTCCCGGAACTCCAGATGTAGACCTATACTCTATCGACGATCTCCCCGAGACGCCGATCTCATACGGTCAAACGTCGCAACTGTTCCGTTACTCTTCACCTATCCCTACAAAACATAATGCGTGGAAAGAGTAGAGTGATTTCATCAAATCAGACATACGGCATGGAAGTGGTTTGGATGTTGTCATCAGTTCAGACATATGGCATGAATATATCTGAGTTCTTTAAAAATACTATTTAAAGAGATATGGCCAGGACATGGCTTAAATTTTAGCTTTCATCAAAATTGATTTCACCAAATAGGACATGAAAGCGTCAGAATTCATCAAATCAGAGATGCATAAATAATATTTTTCGTCAAATCAGAGGTACAAACGGAAGGATTTGATTAAATTAGACATGACGAGAAAAGCTTTAATAATTATTGACAATTGACAAAAAAAGATTGATTAAAATTAGCAATCGGTTATTTGGTGTAATTTCGTAAGAGAAAATATAATTTTTTAATGATGATAACCAGGACATTTTCTGTAAAATGTCAGAATGGCGAGCATGTTACCACTTTGTTAATTCAACAAATCATGTTTATTATCTAAAGACTATAGATGGATACTTCATGTAAATATGTATCACCATATTTTGCATATCTTGAACCCATGCAAAGTATTAACAGTGACACTCACCATCTTGTAAAGTATCATATTTGAAAAAATGAAGCATTTTCATATAAGACAAACACTTCTTGCTTATATATTTCACACCTTGTTTGATTTGATTTTTAGATTTTCTTTGTTGATCATTATACAGTTACTAAGTAACTATTAGCCGGACCTAAGTCACAGTTATTTTAAATTTACTAGTATTACATGTTTCCTGTTAGATATTCATGCCTTTATTGTTAATTCATTTGATCTTATTTATTGCTTCATTTTGTATGGATGCTATTTTTATTGATTCTCTGATAACTACATGTACATAAATTCAGTTTTGTTAAAAAAGGTTTCAGTTATACAGTCATTGGTTTCGTTTGTATTTTATTTTTGAATTGGCATGGCATGTTATAAATGTTGTACGTTGACACAGGAAAATCAGGGTGCATGTTGATATCCGCTTGACTTGCTTTAAAAGTAAGACTTTAAAGTGTAATATCACAATAATCAGTAAAACAAACAAACGAACGAGCGAACGAAGAAAATGAATAAATAATGAAAATGGTAACTAACTTAAAGTGTGTGATATTAACGCTGTACATCATAGTATCTTCTTTAGAAACCGTCACACTTTTATTTTAAAAGAATTAATATATGAATAGGACAAAAACGATGTTGTCTCCCTTTTTTAATTTTCATTGTTATATATTTTAAGCTAACTTATTTATAACGTTTATTGGCCATACGCAATCTGTAGAAAAACTTCTGTTGAAATACGTATACGTTAATAATCGTTTAGTACTCGCAAAAGAATAAAATCTATATGTAGAATTCCTCGGAAGAACGATGCCATATAGGACAAAAATGACATTTATATGATATATTCATTATTTGATTAAATTGTCCTGCACTATTATAGTCCAAGTCACGAAAATAGACACACCGAGAGAGTTCACATAAAAATATAAATATACATGTCTGGAGATAACGCATGCACTTAAAAGTGCCTTATGGAATGATTTTCAAACTTTGTGACCTCGGACGATTGTGGCATTTAGTTGTTATCTGCTTTTAGTTATGGTAAGTCTACTTTTCTTATGTAGCCATTTAAATCCTTCATTTTGGTTAGCGAAACTTTTGAAATTATGAAATTTATGAAACACATTGTAATTTAAAATGGTGAACAATATTTTCATGAGCAGTTGCAGTTTTGTGTGTGTGTGTTTTTTCACTGTTGGTTTTACAAATTTTAATGGGTTATATGACCCAGAACAAACGATTGTTTGTTCAGCAGATCAGGTTTTATAACCATTTATGTACCGTTATACATGAATAATAATAACAAAATGTAATACCGTACAACAACTTTCAATGATTGTTATAAGGTTAGTTGCTTAGTTGCAAAGCCGTGTACATAAAGCTTTATAATACTGCACGTTTGTAACGTCGCTTTTCATTGGATAATCGTGATGTTTATATAGATTTTTATTACCCTTCCAGATTTTTTCCGCCTTTTTGATTGGATATTGATCACCCGAAAGAAATTGATATTACCGAGCCAGACGGGTAATATACACTAAATTTCCCCGTTTTGGTACCCCACGTTGTAAACAACATGCGCTGAGGTGATGCGCGTACGGTTCGATTTTACGCGGTGTAAATTCCGATTTACAAGCACTTTTTAACTGTCAAATGATAAATATTTACCAAAGTAGAGTAATGATACATATTCTCATCAGTATTGAAAACAAATATGACCTCATGAAAGCTTGATAATAATTACAAAAAAGTGCGTTCAATAGACTACTCCTTTTCTCTTGTTTACATTCGTTAGGTACGGGAAAAATACGTCATGTATTTATGTGACGTCATGTTGTGATGAAGGGGTACCCTAAAGGGAATCTTATTTGGACGTTTCATTTGAAACAGCAATGATTTTTTTTAAAAAATCGTCTAAACTCGGCAGGGGAAGGGTAATAAAATTATTATTTTGGTTTTGGAGTGATAAATGTGGATATATTACCTGCCAAGATAAAATATCACCTTCGCCTAACGGCTCGGGTGATATAAAATCTTAGCAGGTAATATATCCACATATATCACTCCAAAACCAAAATAACATATGAAATACACGGCTGCTGTCGACTCATGAAAAATCTTAATCTTACTTTTTTCTTTAAAAAATGATGCTTGCTGTATTATAAATTCGTTATAAAGATTGTTGATAGGTTATATGGCCGTATATAAACGGCTGTTTGCAATATAACCCTTGTCTAGCGGCTCGGGTTATATTTACAAATAGCCGTTTATATAGGGCCATATAACCTGTCAACAATCTTTATAACTAATAATATAAACGTCACGATTATTCAATGAAAAACAACGTTACAAATGGTGCAGTATTAAATAACCATCATTGTTGTCCAATGAAATTTGATGTTACAAATGTATTATGTATTAAATGTATTATGAGATTAAATTATCTGTTCCGTGCAATAAATATATATATTTTTTATAGAAACAGCAGAATTGAAGTATTATTTGGCAATATTGATCTGAGACATTTGAATATTCAATGACTGTAGTTAATTTATACAACTTTATTTTAGTTCGATTGTGTTGGAAGCTATAAACTTATTGAAACACTCCGTTTCCGCAACTAACCAGTACTAAGCAATAAATGTAAAGGTTCTTGCTTAAGGAAACAACGGATTGCCCCTGACCTGGTTTGAACCCACGAGGCCAGCGATCCTTAGATAACTAGTCCAATGACCTTTTATCGGTACTTATCGGAATCCGAACTGAACCATACGAATCTAAATGTTAAGTACAAAACAGTAGATGTCAAAATATTTTTAATAGTACAACAGTATATGCAAAATGTAAAATTACCAGCATAACACTTGACTTACTAGCCTCAGAGACAAGGTGCAAGGCTGTCTGTTTCAAATTGTCGGTCCGAATCATTTTTATCATATTTTTATATTTTCCTTTTAGCAATGCTTTATTACATTTTGATGAACTTTGTTTGTTTGTTTCACTTAACGCCTTTTCCAACAGTATTTCAGTCATATAGGCGGGTAGTTTCCTAACCATCGTTCCTGGAGAGTTACACCAGTACTAGACTACCTTCCTCCGCGCTAAACTACCAAAGCATCTCCCGGGGATCGAACCCACGCCAGAGAGGTAACTGGATTAGAAGTCATCGACTCTAACCCCTCGACCACGGAGGCGGCGTTTTTGATGAAATTAACCTGCATGTCAGTGACTCATTGTACGGCCTTACATATAGAAATACCTGTATATATTTATAAGAAATATCAAATTGAAATGGAAATACACGCTAGAAATTAAATACGAGTATATACCTAGTCAACCCGTGTTTGCATGTAATGTAAAGAAAAAAAGTTAATGAAATCTGCAAAAAAAAAGAAGAAAAAAAATTGTCGGATATTCGAACTTGCAACTACGTGGTTACAATTCCGTTGTACTTATCATTCAGCCACGGGCCGGACCGTATTACTGGTGAAAGGATCAAGAACTATACTACCATTAATCCCTATGCCTAGATCACAATAAATTACGGAACCTCTCAAAAAATAAAAAAGTCTTAGATCAGTATTGCCAAATATTTTTAAATAATATTTCGCGCAAAAATGTTTTCTTTTTCATTCCTATTATAGTTCCAACTTTATTTACGTAATCATTATTTTTATAAGCATAATACAAAAACTCTTTTAATTTTGACCAAACGTTTAGTTGAAAAGACTTGTTGTTTTCTTTTTTTGTCCGAAGATGAGCAAATAATGGCATTGATTCAGTTGAGGATAAGTAAATAAATAGATAGATAGGTATTGAAGGATGGTAAAAACGTGAGCTAAATGTCACGCCTGAGTTGCTATCATACATCATAATTCATGGGAAAATCCAACAACAAAGACCCCCCACAAAAAAAAAAAATGAAGAAGTATAAAAAACAAAGCAAAAAAAAAAAAAACCAACAAAAAAAAAAAACAACAACAAAATCAACAGAAAACCCCAAATAACATGTAAACCTAATTCTGGCATTTTAATTTTCAGATGTTTTCCGTTTTTCTATCATTTACTTTGGTCTTTTTACAGGTGACGTAAGTATTTCATTTATTAATTTAATTTTTAAAACTTTAGAAATTCACAAGGACTTGTTTTTACAACGTTGTAATTTTGAAGCTTAAAGTATATTTCATTGGTACTTTATTTTCTTTCTTCAAATCGAACTTTAAAGCATTCAAAAAGCAAGAAACTTCAACAAGTTTTGAATTTCTTTCGATTAAAGTTTGCTCTTTTTTGGTGTGCGGGCTTTTGTATTACCTCGCTCGTGTTACTACCATCCACTCTACTTTGTATCGTCCCGTACTTGTATAACAGTAAATTTGTTCTATTTGCCCAGTAGGTTATTATCGAAGTTTTTTTTTCTATTGAGTGTTTTGGCTAACAGATGAACGCAATTTGTTCAATTAGCATTATATATGGTTATGAAACTGTATTTACTATAGCGAGATCCTCAGCTTTGTATAACCACTTTGTAACTTCGGCATCATTAAATAGTCTCTACCAATATTTCCAGTTATTGTATTGTAATTGGTCAGAGTGTTAACCTTTCCATGTAGACATGAAATTAACTGAAATCAATGCAACACTTTTTATGTTAATTAATCCATTGTTCTTTTTCAGTGAGTTGGTGATTTAAGCAGAATGTCTGTTTGATATTTGCATTTTGTGCTAATTAATTCTGCCATCCGTAATTTTGCATTTTCCTTTGTTAATAACTATTATACTATGTATAAACGAAAAACGTTATAAACCTTTATTAGTCAAATAAATTATATTTCATAACTGCTTATTAACCATTCAGTCACGGTGCACCTATCCATGACAATTCCGGTACAATAGATGACAGTCCCCAGGCCAGAAATATCTTCAAACTAACAGATAGGAATGGTAACGGAGTGCTGGAATATAGCGAATTCGAGCAAGTGTTTCAAGACTTTGACAACGATAGTGAGTATCTTCCTGAAAGGCCCATTATGCCTCAAAAATACTTTAATTTTTATTTCTAAACAGCTTTTTTTGATGTAATTTTGTAGTATCCAAAATATTACCTATTGGCCAAGTATCTGAATCATCTTATTCATCTGTTGCTTTTTGAAATAAGTGTATTTATAGTGAAATTTGTATTTTGTGTGGAAAATACTACTTTGTTTACATTTTGCTGCTTTTATGACAAATTATTTCACATTTATTGCTACTTTCTCCTGGTGACAAGCATCTCACATTCTCTAAAACCATAACTTAAACATTATAAAATTAATAAAAAGTAACAAAATGTATTTGTTTCTGAGGCATATTGTGCCTTTAAAAACCAGATTTTTATACATACTCTTTGCGTTTCTGTATTCTTTAGAACATTTTTTTTCGTAATCAATATTCGTTGTTGAAAGTATAACATTTTATTCTTAGTATATTTCACTTTGAACTAGATTGCCTTTTTTTTAATAGTATGATATATGTTTTATATGATTAAAACTCCTCCTGTCTTACACAGCCAATGGACAAGTGACGTCAACGGAGTTTGTAGACTTGTGGGTTTTGGATAATATTGGTGAGGTGCAACAGGCTGTTGCTATGTTTTTAAACCTCGATGTTAACGACGACTTTGTCATCGATCAAACTGACATGCCCTACATCTTTGTATTCTTTGACAGAAATCGTGAGTTCATCAAATGCTTTAAAAGAATTATATTTAACATTTTAACATAATTGATTACAATATTAATTAATTATATAAATGCTTATTTTTAGTATAAATATGTGCCAAAGGACTGTTACAATCATGCAAAAGTACCAAGCTTGTTAGATTGAAAGAAATCTCTATAAAACTATCTAATTCGAATTTTAATTTTTACCAAAGTTACAATATTTTTCATTTGTAGGAGGGAATGGGAATTTAGTAACAATTTACAAATTTTAGAGCAATCCCGTCATTTCAGTTTTTGTCATTTGATGTGTTAAAGGAACAGAAATGAATACTGGCAGGGTTATTCCGATGTGTTTCGGCACGGATTTATATATATGTAATATAAATCCGTGGTTTTGGTTTCCTTATATCACATCTTACCACTGGTCTATTAGTAATAATTCTTTGAACTTAGATTATTTAAACTTGTATTGTTCTTCTTGCAGACGACAATGTAGTCAGCGAAGGAGAGTTTGTAATCCAGTGGGTGAAGATAGCGCAATAGAAACATGTTTGTTGATTGTTATCATCTTATGAATAAATAAATGCTTTTGAAAGAACAGTTATTCTTTGTAAAAAAAAAACTAGATACAGCATAGTTCTTCAAAGTAATAAGTCATCATAAATTTAAAACAGCCGTGTAAAAAACAGTAACAATATCACCGTGTGTATCCAGTAACGCAGGAATGTGCAAATAACGCTGGAATTGTGCAAAAGTAACGCAGAATTGCGGACTTTAGTGGCTAAAACGAGCACCGCAATAAGAAAATGAACCAATATTTTTTATTGTACACCGAATTGGAAGAAATGAGTTAGCGCATACGGTTGCTGAGACATAATGCTTTAAAGCTCAAAAATCAAAAATATTTCCATGAAAACGTTAATTTTTCAAAATCATTCGTGAAAATGACGACCTGTCTAGCGTATTGATGGCGATTTTTAGTCTCAATTGATATCTTTAAATACAATAACGTACATATTACTTTATGATATTTTATATTCGGTTTACCTGAGACATTTTTCAATCTACTCGTGTCATATGATACGTAATTAATCAGCAGATAAAACCTAATTAAGACCATTTTTACGAGGTAACGCCGAATTCGTGACGGAAGCACTGAAGTAGCTGCGGTTATCTTATTAAAATCGCTAAATCTTATTTTACCAGTTTCCTTCTATTGTTACACGACACTTGTAGTTTGACAAAAGTCTTAGGTTATACAGATTCGGCGTTACTTTTACATTAATTGCACTTTCCAGCGTTACTGGATATGCACGGTGAATATGCTAACATGCCTTATTGTCACTGTACACAAAGAATAAAAATCGGGAGGGCCAGATACTTCATGTACATGTATATTCGGCTGTTTTTTTTTCTCTCCCTCCGATAAAAAGGATAAAACACCTTTAAAGGCAACAATTATAGAGCATTCTTCTTCTTATTTTTTTCGTAAAATGCTGACAATATCTCACATACACTAACGTCATAGGATTTATCCATGATGATATTAGGAATTGTTGATATAATTAATGTCAGAAAAATCTAAGGCAATTTGTAAGCAGCCAAATGAGCAGCAGTCATCTTAAGCATGCTACTCATTCATAATAGCGCCAGAATCACATCATTTGACACTGACATGCATGGGGGATGAAGAATGATTTATCGAGCACCGATCTTAACACAATACAATCCACTCTGATCCGTAAATATAAATTATGAAAAAAGTTGATGAAATATTTCTGTTGAAAAAAAGTTTTTTTGTTTCTTTTGTTAAATATTCTTTTTATCTTAGCGACAGTAGGGAGCGAAATAGAACAACAGAAAACAACAACAAAGACAGACCAACAACTTTGTTGTCAATTCCTACGCACCAAAATAAAACTTCAAAAAGCCGATAAACACACCAACGAGACCCATATCGCTTCTTAAATAAATAGACGATTGAGTGTCTGTAAGGGATAAGTTTGAGACACACCGTCATATATATTTTTATATAAATGTACCTTGTATATTTATTTGGCTTGTGATTGTAGTTTATCACGCGATTATTCATGGCATGCTTACGCATCATGTAAAAGATGGAATGCATAAGCTGTTTATAAACACCGCATTATGTGATAAGAACAGAACCTTGATTAGCATTTGATTCATTGATTTTGCATGTTCAAATTGTTATACATTTATCTTAAAATTGAAAGAGTCCGTGCGTTCTTAATTGTTCACACAAAGTATGAGGGTGACCATAATCTAACCTTAAGCATTTTCACAATAATATCCGGGCACACATATTCATTTAATTGCACGCTGTCATGCAATAGAACTTTCATTCAAGGGGAGCGGTGTCCTAGTATTTAAGGTGTTTGCCTCTCAGCCCAGAGATCATGGGTTCGAGCCCTATTCTGGACAAACCATGTTTCTTCATACGACAACAGTACTGGCTGGTTTCAGGAAGCGGACTCTAAAGTGATTAATATAAGTTGCAAGAACTTGTTTCGCAATCGAGCTAAAATAAATATGTTTAAACTAATTTCTAAATACTTTATCTTTTGCGTTCTTTTGTTCTTATTTTTGCCTGTATTCGTCGCGAGCTAACACTTTTGTAAAATGTTAGTAAGTGCATTTAGACGTCAAATATGGAAACATACGGAAGCGTATCAGGGCCTACAGTTGGTGAGATGTCTTGCGCTAAGTCGACTTATTTTTATTCGAATTGATAAGATGTTTTTGTATTTCTCAATAAAATTTCCTGACAAAGGTGAGAAACTTTAAGGCTTTCGACTGAATTTTTCTCGATATGCTTGAAGCTTTTGTCTCTTTGACAAAAATTCTGTCGGAACTTCGTGATTTCACGACTTTGCTGAAATATTTATTAAGACGCAAAGACTTTTCCCGCATTGACACATATCTCACGTAATTTAACAACAGTTTTTTGGCAATGATATAAACTTTCTACGTATTACGTATTAATCATAACGTATTCATGGAATGTTTTATGCATTGCGATTTAATCATAACGTCTTCATGGAACATTTTTTGGCAAAACGAGAAGAAACAAGTTGACATGACTAGAAACTTTTAGATAAGATGAGGCCCTGATAAGCTTCCGTACTTCTACGTGCTTATTTCGCAATATAAGATAAGAAAATAACTAATAAATATGAAACTTCCACTGAAATACTTGCATATTAGCAAACACCACGGTACTTACCTCATTTTGAAAAGTGGAAGCGTGTTAAGCATTTCAAATGATTCAGAGTACAGATACTGAATTTATCTACATATCAATTGTTAACATGTCGTGAAAAAAACTAAAGCAATTAATCATGATTTATAACGTTAAGTCAATGTCAGGGCAAATATATAATACGAAACATAGGTACACAAAAAAGTTGATGGTTTTAATTAGTTTTATAAATTACACTTTTATAAATAATAATAATAATAATAATAATAATAATATTATTATTATAATTATTATTATTATTATAAGATCTGTTATTATTATAATTATTATTATTATTATATTCTATTAGATCTATTATTATTATATCTAGATCTAGTAGCGATAACACAAACTTGTATATTTTCTTTCCAAATTGATCGAAGTGTCGGAAAATTTGGTTTCTGCAATAGTGTCACATGAAGCCAGTTTATTCTTAAACTGTATGGCAATTTGTTGAATATTTCTTCCATATCATATGACATAAGGATATATTTGTGCAAATTAGTTGTATAGATAGTATAGAACCCATTTTGTCTAGACCTTATATTGTGGATTTAAATGACTGGTTGTCTTTAAAGTGCATTTTCAGCATGAAATTTGTTTTTGTGACATGTAATATGATCATTGGCAAAGAAAACATGGTTAAAAATCGCATGCTGTTAATTACAGATGTCAAGGCAGCCATTGTTTGTAAACATTGCTTTTTAACAGCATGCTCGGTAAAAACAAGTAATTTTACAGGGGGGTACAAACTTTCAGCAATAGCAAAAAATCTACAAGGCCAAGCACCTATTTCTTTGTGATATTTTGCATGTATAGGGAGTTGCTAAAGCAGTGACAGAGTTTCTGTATAATGCGACAGTGCGATTTTGCGATGACGACAATGCAATAGTGCGATTGTACGATGGCGACAACGCGATAGTATTATCGCACTATCGTATTCTCGCCATCGCATTATCGCACTGTCGTCATTGCGTTATCGCACTGTCGCCATCGCATTATCGCATTGTCACCATCGCACTATCGCATTGGCGCATAATCGTACTGTCGTCATCGCAATGTCGCACTGTCGTCATCACATTATCGCACTGTCATCATCGCACTGTCGTACTGTCGTCATCGCACTGTCGTACTGTCGCATTGTCGCCCTCTGGATTAGAAAGTCTAACCTTGATAGCCCTAACGGTATTCCGTAGATAACGATATAGGTTGTGTTGTCGATATCGACAACGCAACGCGCAAAGTGTTCCAAATCAGCCACCATACATTATAAGCTATATCAAATGCATGGAAAAATATCTAAAATAATGATTATTGATAAATTAAGAATATATATATACAAAAAAAATAAAATAAAAAGTAAAACAAAAATAGAATAATTTAATTCAAAGGCCTAATAAAAGTTTCACCTGTTTTGGGCTTTGAGCTTACGACCTTCCGCATGCGAAACAAGAACCTTAACCACTACTCTAACAGGCCATATATTATCTTTCAAATGTTAACCTGTTGGTGTGTTTTCGTATATGGCTTTATCCTGCCACCCCTGTGTACTTATAAAATTAAGATTTCCCATTCTCGACGGAACCGTTATGCCGGATTCCGATGATTGCCGATAAAAGGTCATTGAATATTCAAATGTCTCGGGCCAATATTGCCCAACAATATTTCAGTAATGAAAAGGTCAGAGTTGAGAAGCACGGCGGAATATGCCGAATTTCCCGCTTCACAGATTACAGACCACGTGATCATTTGAACAGGTCATTTTTTGTGGGAAACTCGCGCCGAGAAGACGTTCTTTGTGAATAAAGTAAGTGTGATAATATTTTACAACTTTTGTATTTGATCGTTTATATTGTTCTTGATGTATGCTATTTTTATGTACTTGCGCTTTATAAAATATCTTTAAATATGTATGTTATCCCTGTAGTTAGTCATGAGTTGAGTTGAAGTTATTGTTGATGGTTCTTATAAAATGTGATTTGGCCAGACTACGTGATGCCCTGCGGTTTTGTTGATATACTCGCGATTTATAAAAAAATCTTTATGTAAGTTGTCCTTGTACCCCCTGTAGTAAGTGAGTGTTGAGTTGAAGTTATTGATGATGGTTGTTGTTATAAAATGTGATTTGGCCAGACTAAGCGATGCGCCCGTGGTTTTGTTGATATACTTGCGATTTATAGAATAAAGTCTTTATGTAACTTATCCCTGTACCCCCTGTAGTAAGCGATGTGTTGAGTTGAAGTTATTGATGATGGTTGTTGTTATAAAATGTGATTTGGTCAGACTACGTGATGTGCCCGCGGTTTTGTTGATATACTCGCTATTAATAAAAAAAATC